CCGCACAGGCGCCGCTGGGCTGCCTGCGAGGCGCGCTCCCTCCCTCTCCGCGGCGGGCGCGGGCGAGGGCGCGGCGGACGGGCGGCTGCGGGGAGCGGGCCCGGCGTCCCGGCGGGGCGATCCGTGGGAAGGAGGGTGGCGCGCATTCGGACATGCCCGCTGCCCCGGGTCCGCCGAGGCCCCCCCAGGGCCGCGCCTTCCGCTGGCGCGCTTGTCGGCCCCCCTGCGAGGGGCGGCGGGGAGTGCGGTGCTCCACGAGGCGCCCGGTTGGACCCTGTTCTGCCATGGCTGGAGGAGGCCTGTTGCAGTACAAGCAAGGAGCCGTGTCTAAAGCGTGGCTTCTTCCAACGGGCTTGCTCTTACGTGTGGCCAAATTTGCATGCAACCCACACAACTGTATCAGGCACAAACATTTGTAGACTGGAAGCTACTAAATTGCCCTAAATTGGTAGCAGAAAGGGTGGGGTGTGTGTGTACATACATCCACCCACCCAGGTAAACAGTGGAGTCAGAAGCATGAAGGCTCAGCTTTAACTATACAAGAAATTCGAGGATGATTATGCTGGGAAAATTACTACTCCTCTCGGGTCAGGAAGCCAGTTCAATCCCTTGCAGAAGAGTTTGGGGCTGTGGATTTGGGGGTATGCTGCAGTCCCACGGTTGAATTGTACAGATTCTGATTGATAATGGAGTCCACCTCCTTGCTTGTACATAGGCAGCTGCCCATAGTTGGAAAATGACATCAGCATGGCAGAGTTCATCTCTCTGTGCGTGAAGTTTCTGGCTGTCAGTGTGTCCTTGAGAGCTGAACAATTTCAAAGAACTTTTAAGACCTGCCCGCTCTTTTAGGGGGGTGGTTATTTACAGATACGGAAGCTGTCTAAAATCTAAAGTTATGGTAGTTTACCTGAAGTGGAATGACCCTCTCAATTTCCAGGAGGCATCAACTGTTTCACTTTTGACTGCAGCTTCTATTTTACATAAGTGTGTTTGTGGGAGAGTTGTCAGTCTGCAGAAACGTGTGCTAAGTAACTTCTTCACACAGTCAAATTTATGGATTGATATTGGCCCTGCTTATAAAAATTATTTTTCCTAATATATGGCCTTTTCTGTTTTAAGCATTCCTTCATGCAAATTGTAGCCCATTTGCCTAGCATGTTCCAATCTTGAAGACTGCTGTTCTTAAAACATGAACAGAAAAATCCTAGGCACCATTGTATACATTTAAAAATAGGTACACATATCTTTTCCGTACAGACAACAACTACAGCATGGACACATTTTTTTATCTTTATTATTAGACTTTGGTAGTCATTCTTAAGCATTTGATTTTATTCATCTATTTAGTAAGCGTAAATGAGCTGCAAATGTATTGAGGCCTTGCTTAATTACTCCCTGATGCCCACAAGGGTAATTCTTCAGCTCTGAGGTGTGAGACTGAAGAGAGATTCTAGTGTTCAAGGAAGTCAAAATTGTTCTGGATGCCCAGAAGCATCTGTGTGCTTCAATTGCCCTGAAAAATATTAACCCATGTCAAAGTTTTGTTTCTAATTCTGCTTTGGTTAATGCTGAGTTGCTTGGTGCTAAAGAGTAGTTTAGGGCTATTTTCCTTGTTTGGAAATCATAATTCTCCCAGTTTTATCCAGCATAATTGCCCCCCTTCAGCTGGCAGGTGAGGTGCCGCTGTAGGAGGCATGCATCCAGTGGCTGATGCAGCCAGAGAAGCCTGCGAGTTGTATTCCCTTCAGCAACACCTTTGTGTGACTCCAGCTGGAGATGAAACTGCTGCAAGGGTGCAGGTGCCTTTGCTTGCCATGGTGTTCTTGGGACCAAATTAGACATGAAAAGGGCAATGCATGGATTACTTTGCCTTGCTGTGAGGGAGGAGCTCCCCCCCTCCCCACGCATACACACACTGCTTTCCTCTTTATGAAGAAAAAGGAAAGCAGAACTAGGATACCTGTTCTTGTAGATAGAAACGCACCAGGTATGGTGTGTGCGCAGCACACTCATGTTTCTCTTGTCAGCTATCTTGACTTAGACGGGACAGTCTAGGAGGGCCTGTACTCTGACCCCTTGCAGCGAGTGGGCCCATCCAGGCCGCAGGGGGTTTTATTGCCATCCTCCATTTTTAGATGCTGCATTTTCTGACTGTGTACAGAAGTGCAGGCAGATGAAGCCTCTGTGGAAGTGGTTCCAGAACTTGGGGCTTGTCGTGGCCTGAGATTGCTTCCCTTCACTCCTTGGGCCTGCACAGGCCTCGAATGTCCTCTTCACATCCCTGTACCTGTGGATCAGGTTTTGTGAGCTGTGCCTGCCAGATGTTTTGGACTCCTTAGCCTCAGCCAGCGTGGCCCATGGTAGTGCATTCTGGCCTGTGCATCAGATTCCTATGACGTATTCATCTGCCCCGTCGCTTTTCAGTTTAAATAATTTGCTGACTTGTGCTTCCAGGAGAGCTGTTGTAATTTTTTGAAACATGGACATAACCAATGAAGGAACTCGTGGCTCTAGCCCTGCTTTTTTGCCATTAGAAGTTGTGTTGTATACTTTGCAGCGATAGCGCATTTCTCAGCAGAAGCCCACCTACTTGTGCAGGTGTTAGTTCACAAGCCACCTTAGTCCCCTGAAGGGTCTCTCTCATGGAAGGGGGAACCACTGAAAAGCCCCCCTTCGAATGGCGAGGGTGGGGTACTAGCTGATACGGGGCGAGTAACCATGGGTGTGAAAGAACGCCATTTCTTCTTGGAGTTCTACTCAAAAAGCCCCTGCTCTCAAACTTGCCTTGCTCCGGTCCACAGTATGGAAAACAAGCTGGGCATATGTATCAGAATGTCTTTTTTGAAGAGTTACAAGTTCATAGGAGTCAAACAGCAAGGATATTTGGCCAACTGGATTTTTTATTTCCGGCCTTTTCCGGTTGGGTCGTATCCTGGGTTGATAACACGTTGCCTTCCAGATGCTTTGGCCCACCAGTGTCACCGCTGGCTCTGCTGGAGCGGGGCTGAGGGCAACACCTTGCACAGTCCTAGTTGTGAGCTCCCAGCTGTTGTTCCTCACAGCCTGGATATTTGGCGGGCTGAGCTAGCACATGGTTTCTTAACCACTTCCTAACCTTCTGGTATGGTGCAGATTCCTTCTCACTGTGAAGATGGAACCGTTTTGAACTAGAGCCGTTCTGGGGTTCTTTTGTGACCCTCGCAGGAGCCAATTACGCATCTGTATTTTTATCTATTTAATACATTTCTACCCTGCCCTCTAGCCCCGAGGGCTCTCAGGGCGGGGTGCGTGTTGACAGAAGGCACTGAAGTGCTTAGTCAATACCAACAGCTACATCAGAGGTACCTAATGAGCAGGAGGGAGCTTTCTAGCTAGTTTATATAATGCCACATGTTTACGTTTGCATATCGCTTTAACAAACATGTTGGACCTTGTGTTGTCACAGCTTAATTATCTTTCTGAATTCTTATTCAGACACCTTTGTCCTCAAATTTCAAACTTGAGTCATCCATTGCGAAATTCTGATAGCGTAGAAGCCATGAAAACTGAATGTTCTTAATTTACTTTTCTCCTTGAATATAAACACTTTGGCTACTTCACACAAGACATATTTGCATCCTTGTATAATATCAGAGTGCAGGGATGCTGAGTCAGGCGTGTGTTGGTGTTTGTCCTCTTTAGAATGCATGGGATGGGGGCCTAGTCCTTTTCTAGGCATTACATTTCTGGAAACGTGAAGCCATTTAGACCATTTTCCTATTGTTGTTATCTTGGAAATGGCAGAGAAGACAGAAAAATAAACACGAAGCGCTGTGGGTCTGACCACTGCCAAGTTCTGTACCTCCTTCCAGGACGAAGAAAAAGGAGGCGATGCTAACAGGCAGGCCAGCCCAGACACCGCGTGGCCCTCGCTCGTGCTCGTGGTTGGAAGTGCCCCCAGGTGACAGGATGCAAGGAGTCCTTGTGAAGGATCTGTTCGCTTTACTTTGAGGCTGTAGATGTGGCACAAGCGAGTTATTTACTATGTTGCCAGTCAGGCATTTCAGTCATGCGCTTACTTGCAATATTGTTGTCTAAAGCAGCCAATGTTATTTCTCTTCTTCGTTCCCGCCGAGTTCCCCCTTCTGTAATTCCTCTCCTTTCATTCCCCGTCCCCCAAATCAGGCTTTGCAGGAGGGAAATTCAGAAGCAAAGGCCTTCAAATCGATCTCTCCCCCCTCCTGTTTTTCCTCACCGATTGTCCCAGATCTTAGGAGGAGGTCGGCAAGTGTGGGGCTGGCTGGCTTTGGGTCGGAGGGTCCTGCTCCTTGGCACCTCCCTCTTCTAGGTGCACCTGCAGTCGGAGCCCGTTGCCTGCCATCCTTCCCATCGTCTTAACTGTGAGGGGAATATAGTTACAGTCACTGAAGGTGGGGGGCACTTGGGGCCTCCTGTTTGGGGTCAGCTGCTAGGTAGCTGCAATTGCCCCTTGCCGCCTCCATTCTGTTCCCCTCCCCTCCCCTCCCCTCCCCACCACGCACCTCCCTTGCCCTCTTCCCTCAGTTTGGGCCACCCGCCTTCGTTTGCTATCCACACAGTGCAAGGAAACTGGTAGGACGTGGCCCTGTCTGTGTTCCATTTTGCTTCTGCAACCGATACAATTTCATGGGCTGTGCTAAGGGACTTCGGGATGACTTACTGCACCAACTGTGATACAGGCATCGTAAGACAAACACAAGTTAAAGTAAAAATAAAAATTAGTGCTAGCTCTGCAGGGGGGAAGTGAATTAGCCTCCTTCACAAAAGCATTGCAGGTGATCGTCCTGCCTGGATGTTCCACTGGAGAAGCAGACGAAGGTTAATGTGATTCTCACTCAGGGACTTGTGTTAGACAAAGGGCCCTGCTAGAAATCCTTCCTCTGTCATCGAGGGTTGTTTTTATGCGGTGGGAATTTTATTTTGGCAAAGAGGAGCATTTAGTCATGTGAGCCCCGGCCTTCGGTGAGCCCAGGTTCGGGTTTACTGCTGAGCCGAGCCTGTATTCGAGATGCAGGCTGCGCACGCGAAAACGAGAGCACAAAAGGCCACCTGCAGCACGCAGTGGTGCGAAAGGAGTGTGCACGGGCATTCAGCCTGCTGATTTTTGCAGATGGTTGTCAACAGTCGCAAACACTCGTCTAATAATTTTCGCATCTTCAAGACAAGAGTTCAGCTACAGCAGCAAGCTACTCAACTTCCTGCCTAGACTTGTGGCTTAAGCCACCATATTACTGAAATACAGAGTCAGGGAAATCTTTGTGTGAGTACAAGCAAAGGCTGGAAAGTTCACAGAATGAATTTGCAGCAAAGCGTGAAAGCAGTGTGTGCAGGAAACAGTGAAAGGCTTGGGCTTGCCATGGCCTTTCCTTCGTCACAGTAAGGTGGCCCTGAGGGTACGTTATCCGACCCTCCGAGATAGAAGTGGTCAGTGCTGCGCTGCATCCCCCCCCCGCCCTGGTGTGTGTTATGCCGGGTCACACGCTCTTCTCCTTTGACCCGCTCCTTCCCCAGAACACGCTTGTGATAGCTAAGGAGTCATCTTACTACTTTACACGGGAAATGGCTGTATGATTAACTCCACGTCCCAGCAGTGTGACCACACATTCTCGCACTTCTTGAGATTAGAACCGCACAAAAACCCACGCAGGACGCAAGCGCAGCCCAGGCAGCGGGGCCAAACTGGCGCAGATCGGTGGTAGCGAGACTGGTGCGAGTCAGATGCCCGCAGTTGCTGCCGTGGGAGGCGCATCTCCCTTTCAGTGTGGATTGCTATCTCTTGACAGCGTCCAGTACAACACAGTTGGCTTGACTCCCAAATTGTTATTTCGGTGACTATTAAAATAGTCACCGGGTGGCTGAGTGTGGAGAGCCAGGCTGATGGGATGCAGTGGCTGCTCCTTTCGGCTTACAGCAGAGGGACCGGGTTCAGATTCGTGTTTGGAAACAAAGCCAGTTGTGCGTGTGCACACACTCAACCCAATCTGCGTCACAGGCTGCCTTTCAGAGTAAAGGGTGGAGCATGTCTCCTGCTTTTAGCCCTTTAAAGAACGGGCAGCATTAAAATACAGCAGAGAAGGTTCCAGCCGGAGCAAAACACCCATTTCCTTCAGCATTGGTTTGCCCCGTCGCAGTCCCAGCACTGCAGACTAAAATACAAGATGTTTATGTTACTTCAGGTTGCTTGCACTGAAAAGTTGAGGATTTGGTGGTCTTCCTTTGAAATAGATTATACTAGGGATGGATTACACTTGGGCTGCAGCTGCGGCATGAGAATCCCGGGGAACGCATGCCAGGCAGTCCCCTTTCCCCAGTGAAAGCTTTGCTCTGCCATTCCAGGCCCTGCCCAAGCAAAGAGCAAATGGAAACAGCGTGCTTATGATGGATGGGGGGAAGCAAGCTTCCATAGTCACAGTGCCGCTGCTCTTCAGAAAGCTCATGGCTTGGATTTTCTTGAAGGACTGATGTTGTCCATCCTGCAGCGTCTTTCTGCATTTCTTGGCCCAGCAATGCCAGTTGTTAATCTCTGAACAAGAGCCCTCTCTGGCCTGTATTGTTGCAGGTATGAATATAGCCAGGGAAACTGAAAGTCTGGAACTTTCAAGAAGGAGCAACCGTTCGGCTGGATAGAGCCTTTTTCGTAAGATGAAAGACTGAACTCCACGTTTGATATGTGGAGGATTTTACTTTTATGAAAGTATATATGTAGATTTAGCATGTTAAGATTTAATGTAGTATGCTATTTTTGTTAGAAAAAATTGGTATGCTACATAATGGTTTTTAATGAAAGTGTTTTCAATAAATCAGATTCACATTTAAAAATCAATTTTGAAAAATAAGTTTTTAAATCTGCTTTCTGTGGCAGCGATGTCAGAAACTAAGGCTGTCACTGAAGCTGTCGCTTGTGATGTTTTAGCAACTTGCAGATCCATGATATATTTTTAACTGCAGGAGGGGCTGCTGGCAGGAACAGGGCAGCTGACTTTTTCCCTCTCCTGGCAACCAGCAGTCTTGGGGCACACGTGTTATCGTAATTGCACAGACCTAAGTAGAAAGGAGGTGTTACGTAACATGTTGCTCTCTGAGGGTTTAGAGTAAGCTGGCAGGACTTGTCTGTGTGTGTGTGTTTTTGTAGGCCGAAAATATTTTCAAACATGCATAGAATTTGTTCATGGCTTGGGTAACCTTTGGGAACCAACCATCTTTCTTGTGTTTTGTGAATACCTGTGACGGATATCCTAACTTCTCTGACTGTCAGAGGGGTCCCTCTGAAGAAGCTGTTGTGTTACAGGGAAATGTATTTATACTGGTCTCCTCCTATATAATCTTGTGTAGAATATTGTCTGTGGGCCCTTTTTCTGCCTAAACCTGCATAGGAGTGCCCCTGGAATTATTCAGTGATAGTATGTGGGCAAATTATGGACTCAATTTTTAAGTTTTTCCGTCAAAAGCCAGTACCTCTTTAGGATGCTAAATTAAAGCACTTTTCCTTTCATGCCCAGTTGCTGTGTAAATTCAGGATTTGCAGAGAAAATAACAGTGCCAACAAGCCCAGTATGTTTTTACGAGGCGAGAAACATATTTCTACTATCCTGGTGATTTTTTTCTCAATTCAGGATGCAATCCTATGCCCTTCCAGACAGAAAAAAAGTCATAGGCCTCCTTCTTGCATTCTGAAGGTGCTCATGCTTCCCTTTTAATTGTGTTATCAAAAACTTACCAGATTTCAGAGACGAGTTTTTCCAGTTCTACCAGGATATCAATTTGTGTGCATTTTAGCTTTTTGAAAGGCAAGCTTCAAATTGCAAAATTCTAATGTCAGTGCAGTATTTTAATTGCTGCTTTCAGAACTCTTTGGCAGATGCCGCTGAGAAACCACCATCAGGTCTGATTTCTCCCCACTTTTCACTGTGTTTTTTCCAGATGACTTGTCTTTCCACTGACATTTTCTTTTGTCAGATCTTCTGAGGACTGCTTCTTACATGATGGCTGGCACTTGGGCCCCACTACTGACATACTTAAATATCTAAACATGATTTATTTTAGGGGCGTCAAACTTCCAAATCGGGCAGGAGATAACAGTGGGGGTGCAGAGTGGCAGGAATCGCAGGGAGAGTGGGGAGAGCGGCTGCTCTCACGGGCACCAGTGAAGTTCCACCACCGTCCATGTCCCCTCACCGTCCTCTCTAAGCTGGCATCAGGGACTAGATTAGAGGCGGGCTGGGGGTTGGTTGGGCAGCCTGGCTCCTTTTCAGCAGCAGAGGGGGCTTAGCCGCTTCTCTACCTGCTCCGTCTCCTTCCTGCAAGTGACGTTGGTTTCCCAGGGGTTCCTTTGCTCAAGCTAGAAATTTCCAATCTGCAATTTGGAATGCCTGGTTTTGAAGGAGAACCTCGATAAAGCAGGAGTTTTTGAAACCTGGTGGAATGGTGTGATCTGGTGGGGTGTCGTCATCTCTGGATATGGGTGCTATAGGAAGCAGAGAGACGTGCACTGGTCAGATGCGGAGTTCCTGTTCTGCAGGTCAAATGCGACATAATAACCTACAGACTGGGGAACGTAGACGGGGCAGACGTCTGCACTGAAGTGATGTGGGCATCAGTACTAGACTTTAGCACTAGGAATGTGCTACTGTCCCCCGGCTAGAGCATTCTTAAAGAACTCAGATATGACATTGCTGATTTTATAGCAAAAATATGAAACATGTTCCATGATCAATCGGTCTTTGTGCCAGAGAACCTGAGAATGGCTAAAATAGCACCAGTTGCTTTTTTAAGGGATCAGCCAGGATCTCAGAAATTATAGGCCTGTTAGCTTAACCTTTGTTCCAGACAAATTGACTGAAAGCATTATTAGATAGAGAGGGAGACCGTATAGAAGGACAGGTCTCTGAAAAAGAGGGGGGGGGGGGCTCTGCCTCTAAATTTTTAGAGTTCTTTTTGGGTTAGAATGTTTAAAAGGAAGAGAACAGTGGGTCCTATGCTAGAAGTCGGGCATAAGGGTGGCTGAAAAAATATTGAAGATTAATATGTTATCCCATAGAAGTATGTTATTAGTGATACCGTTCAGTAGATATGCGTGGTGTTAGAAAGTGTAATTACTTAGTCCGAGGTTTACAGAGGTTTCTCTGACCGAAGCTTGCTTATGTATATTGAATGTTCCCATGGCATATATAGTGGAAGCTGTATCCTCAAACCATTTGGTATTCTTCTTTGATGGATCATCCTATGGTGGCCTTTGTTCAGCTTAATTGGGCTGGAAAAGATACACTTGCTGGCTTTAAGACACTCGCAAAAGCAGCTTGCCTCATCGCAAGAGTAACCCTCCAAATGTACTGGACTGCAGTTCCCCTTACCCACAGCTAATACGGCAGTTGGCGGCAGCCTCCTCCTCCTCCTCAAATGATGCTGCAGTATAAAAGGAACATTTTCTCTTCCCCTTGAAGAACTGCTGCTGTATGAAGTTATCACTGTAGGCTTCTGACAACTGTTCCGAACTTTCCAGATATGTTATGAATTTGGGTTGCAGGGTGGGTTGAAGAGTGCTTTGGATGCTTGTCTTAAAACTTTGACAAAATTCCAACTCTGATCATTTGGCAGTCTTAACTCTTGTCCCAGATGACATCGTGCTGAATGCTTCTGCAGCTGGTGCTCGGTGCTCGGGTGCTTAAGGTTTTACTGAGCAAGTGTGCGCTGCAAGACTGAACTAGTCTGCTGTATTTGTAGAAGATGGGTCATTGTGTGAACAGCTGCTTGGTTGGAGCTGCTGCTGAATCTCTGCCTATAAGCATCAAAGTTTGTGTTAGTGCTCGGCTTTGCAGTTGGGTAGGGCAGAGTTTGGAAATAAAACAACACTGGCTTATAATCTAAGCCGAAATGCATTTTGAGTTTCATCTAGGCTCAGTAATAAACTCAGGCCATTTCTGGCTGCCCTGTCCCTTCTGTTCTCTTTTGCTGAAACTTGCCTTCTAGCGAGAATCATGGGACCTTGGAATCCCGGGAAACCGTGCTTCCCGGAGAACTTTGTGCTAAGGAGCCCGTGGGGGAACTTGCATAACAGGGTGAGGGGAGGCCCTGGGCTGCTCCAGGGCAGGAAGGCATTGGCAATTGCTTAGGTCTTCCTGAGATGCTAGGAAAACTGAGAGCCCTCGAAAAGAACAAATGCATTCTAACTGAGACAGGGGAGTTGGCCCATTCCTAGTCAGAAAATGTGGTGGCGGCAGCCCATCCTAATATACTTAAAACATACTGTGAATTGTAAAATGAGCCCTGCTTTGATTGCCCTAGCCTTTTTTCCCCTAAAGCTAAATCTGAGACATCTTGAAAAAGGTCTGCATACTGGACATGTATAATAAAAGACTTTAAATTTTGTACTTTCTTCTGAACTGGAGTGGTCAGAACAGATACTTACAGACAATCTTGTTTTCCTAAAATCCTTGTCCATTACAAGATTACTTTTAGGAAATTAGACTATGTAAGATATGCACAGTAGAAACGAAATCTGAGTGAATTTTGGTATCTTGTTTTTTTGTGTAACTTTAATACCTGATCTGCACATAATCCTAAGCAAAGGTTTGTGCTGTTGAAATATGGCTCGGTGACTTGGTCTGCATATCACTGTAGTAATTTCTGGGTTGTCCTCACAGTTCCTAGGTTAAACAAATGGAGCACATAAGCTATGTATGAGCCACTTTTAATGAACCCATTCCTGGGCTGTTTTTTAACATGTGAATTCAGCAGCTTTGGATTGTTTAGAGGTTAAGCAGCCCAGAGTTTATCTAGCAACAAGCAGCTGGCATTATTGGGTTATTTAGGTTAATTAACTGACTGCTCCTCAGTTTCTGGGTTTAGAGGACTCAAAACAATGAAAAATGGAAATGGTTTGCACGCTCTGCTCATTTGCACAGTTTGTGGGTTTCACCCAGGAATAGTGATGCGCAAAATGGTCACATCTTGGGATGGAGTATAGACACAGGGAAGCTCAGCATTATGGGTAGCTTTTCTGTTTGCGTGTTAAGAGTCCAGGCCCCGCACTTTTGATGGGTGTTCAGGTAGCATACCTACCTCCAGACGGTGGGTGAACATAAATCTCCATTGTTACTTGCTCTGGATACTGGGAAAATGGAAGCATTTTCCCTAGACAGTTGCTCATGCTTCCTGTTTTGAGAGTATTGAAACAATGGTATTTCTATGAAGGATTACTCTGGAAATTTTCTTGAAATCTCTAAAAGCAAAACAACTGTAATTTTGCTTGCTTCCTCTTTGTTCGTCAAACAAAATGTAGAAAAGACTAAATCTTCCATAAAGCTGATTTTACCAGTTATAGATGTGCTAGCTAGCTCTGAATGCAGCACTGCAGGTCTCATCTCTGCTCTGTGTTGTGCAGGTGGGAAACCCCGGGACTCAACTCATTCTAAAAATATTGTATTAGGTTGGCGGTCGAAAAAGGATTCCCTCGTTTTAGGGAGCTCCTGCATGTGGAGAGTTTGAAATGCAGATGAATCAGGGCGTACAGCTCCAATATCCCAGTATTCGCGTCTCCTAATACTGAGCTCAGAAGATGGGCGCCCAAATATTGAAAAACAAGAGGGAGGTGGTGTAATAATTGAAGAGCGTCAAGGTTTGTAGAAGTGCAGCAGAAACAAGAAGAGCGCAGATAACCAAAAAACGCAAGCTTTATTGGAAGTAAATGATAGGTGGAGAATGACTTGAGGTACTGCTCCAAACCGAGTTGGCCTTTTGACTGGTTGGAAGGTGCTTAATCACAAGGAGTAATCAAAACGATGGCCCGGTAACAATTAAGTATTTACAGCCTTTTTTCAGTGGGACTCCATGGGGGTACTTGCAGCTCCCAAACTGTTGTGGTACCTTAAAGAACGCCAGGTTTCTTGTGGCAGAAGCCCAGGGTTTTTAAAACTTAAATTTAATTAGCTTTTAACTTTTATTTAGTAGAAGTACTGGGAAGCTAATTATTAAAAGGCAGGCTGATAATTGTTGTAGAGCCACGGCATGCTTAGCTGTTGTGAACGATTATTTATAAATGTTGTCTAATAGTGTTAGACAAACATAATCATGTGCCGCCATTATGGAAAACAGCTTGTCAACAATCCGCTAAAACCAAATAGTTTTGGACCCAAAGTAGCTTTGCTACTTCGCCCATCACGTCAGTGTCATTCTTTGCCGTCTTCTTGTGTTCCTTAACTCTCTCGGCAGGATCCTTCAGAACACAATCCTGCACGTGCTTAGACAGGAAAAGGGTCCTGTAACTCCCAGCATCCCCAGCATGGTGACTGGGAAATGCTGAGAGCTGAAAGGGTTTTGTCTTCCTGTTTGAGCATGCACAGGATTGTACCCTTTCTCTACCTGGGAGTGGATCTAAATGTTTCAGAAGTCACCAGTTAAGAGTGAACGGTCGCATCCTGCATCTGTTTGGGCACACAGTGGACCTGGCCTTGGGACCTGGCCCTGACCTGCACTACTTGTGACAAATTACACACTTCCCGGGGTGATCTGAAAAAAATATGTGGGAGGGGGTAGAACCATGGATGCCGTCCCAAACACCCGTGAGGGGAATTAGCACACAACAAGCGAGCTTTGCACGAAGCGTCCAGTTCAGGGTTGTGCTTGCATTGCTCATGCCTCCCCTTCAATGCCTTTCTTTTTCTAGAATCCAGCAACTATCACTAGGATACTACTTAGTCATTTCAACTGGGATAAAGAAAAGCTGATGGAGCGGTAAGTGGTATCCCTTTTATTCGTGGATTCTGACATGAATAAGGTGTTCCTAGTAACCTCCAGAGCCAGATGTAGATCAGTGTCCCCCCCCCCCCCCCCCCCCCCCAATCCTGAATGCTTCTTCGGCAAGTGTCCTTTCGTAAGTATTACTCAACCTGATGCTCTCCAGGTGTTCGCTGGATGGCTCCTCCCAGCATGCCTAGCCACTGGCAGTGCTTGCTGGGGCTCTTAGGAGCTCACATCCAAAAGATCTGAAGGTCCTGGAAGGCTGCCCAAACTGAAGGGAAAACTCAAATGCTGGACGGGCAGAAATGCCCCCGGTTGCTTTTAAATGCCACCGAATGCCTCAGAAGAGGAAGATGCTGACCTGGTGCCAGAAGGACCGTCGCATCGGTGCCAGTGGCCTTCCCGAGCCCTCCCAGCCAGCACTGCAGTTGACTTGGCTCTCTGGTCGCTGTGAGGACTGCAGTCCGTCATACCTGGAGGCACCAGAACGAAGAAGCGGGGAGGCCGGGCGGGGGGCTTGGATGAGTGGGCGAGTGCTGCCAGGCAGCGTGCGTGAGCGTGCCGGTCCTCGAGCGACACAATAGGTGGTTCAGGTGAGCCAGGGGGTCCCCCCCCCCCCCCCCCACGGCAAATCCTTCCCTTCCTCTTCTAGGTTGAGGTGAATCCTAGTTTGCTGCCTTGCTTGAACCAGCAAGGAATGGTTTGTATGTGCCCGGGAACTATAAATCGAATACCGGGATCAAGCCATGGTCTCCAAACTATGGGGCAAACGCAAAACACAGTCTTTGTTTAGATGGAGTGTCAAATTATGGCTTACCTCAAACCAGGGAAGAAGGGGGAGAGCTGCGGTGCAGGGCAGGGGCACTTGACTGGAGACGCATTCTCGTGCGAACTGTGGCGTGGTGGCATGCTGGAACCATCCCGGGGGCCCCTTGAACAAAAGTGCCATTTTGGGGGGATCGTGTGCATAGGTAGACGTCCCGTGCAGCTGGTGAGTCTTCTGTAGTATATGTGGGTGTGAGGATCTACCTCTGAGGTGACTGACTCTCATCTGTGAAGATCGCATGACGGCAGAGCGTTCGGAGCTCTGCTCAAGCCGAGGTCGTGCTTATCACTTACGTTAGCAACGTTTATTTCCTCTTAGACAATTTTCTCAGCAGGAGAATAATCCACCACAAGGCAAAAGTTTCCACCATTCATGTAGGTTTCAGTAGGATGCTATGAGGGCGATCTTCCATGAGTTGTAGTTGGTCTAGTCTGATAAGCTGGTCGTCAGGGTTTCAGGTAGGTCATTCCTAGCCATACCCTCAGATTAAAATGTCAGGATGTTACTGTGAGAACTGAAAGTTTTGCATATTACAGAGGTTTCCTGAGGTGCTTGTGGGACCGCTGATTGCCTTCGTCTCACAGCTTTGTTGAGTTTAGGTATGGAGAAGAATAGAGGCCCAGCCTATTTCTTGCGGATCCGAAAGCGCCTCCATATTTGCAGGTGGTTTTATTTATTTATTTATTTAGTCAGTCAGTCAGTCAGTCAGTCAGTCAGTCTCTGGCTTGACTATTCTCAAGTGAAGAACAGATAAACGTCGTACGCACTTGGCTTTACTAGATTTTTGTGTTTGCACAGGTACTTCGATGGCAACCTGGAAAAGCTGTTTGCAGAATGTCATGTAATTAATCCTAGTAAAAAGTCTCGAACCCGTCAGATGAACACGAGGTCTTCTGCACAGGACATGCCTTGCCAGATCTGTTACCTGAACTATCCTAATTCGGTGAGTGCCCTTGAAACTCTTAATGCATTTGAACTCAGACGAGATTAAAAAAAAAAGTGTATATGGGCCATTAAAAATGTCACTAATGTGTGTGTTGGTGTGAAATTAATTTGTGTTCATAACAGCCAGTCTATGCTGTGTCTTTCTGAACTAAATGAACATGTGTTGCTGATTTTGCTTGCCTTCAAGTCAAGGGAATGGCAGCATCTCGTTCCTTCTCCCTGTCAAAAGTTTTCTGTGCTCATGGGCTTTTTATTTGTCTTCTTTTGTTAGTATGGAGGTGGGCTCAGGCACAGGAATCAAAATGTGTGAGTCGCAGTGGTGCAGGCCGGAGTGAGGTTTTCTTTCAAGTGAGCTTCTTGTGAGCACTGTCTCCCTTCTGTCTGCCTGAAAATATATTTTCATGACTTTCTACTCGTATTTTTAAAAGGAAGCAAGAAATTGAACCTATAACGCTTTCCCCGTGTTTTAAAACCACACACATGCAGAAGCGTGAACTAGTATGTCGAAGAGAAGGCTTGGCTTGGGATCGTCTTTCAGGCACTTCTGAATGAGCAGGGCTGGCCCTGTTACCGTCCACCTAAGACGGCAGATGCTGAGGTGCATGGAGCAGATAGGTGTGTGACCGTGACCTTGGTGTACCTGTTGAGCTACCCTGCTGCCCTCAGGTGCAGTGGAGGATGCTGCCCTGCCACTAATGTTGACAGCCAGGATCTCATTGTTAGAAGGAATCATGCAACCCTCTGACAATGTTTTCCACGTTGTCATCAGAAACCTGTTACTTGTAGAGGTTCTTTTGCCAAACTACCCCGTCTCATTTCCCCCACTGAGTCATGCTGCAGGGCATGTGCTGAGGTCACCTGGGGCAATTGCCAGGGCCTTTGGGTCTTGGCGTCACTCCACCTGGGCACTCACTTTGACCCTGAAAAACTCAGCATCATCAGGTCAGCAGCACGATGAGGCTTAGGAGAGGTGGGCACGCGGTTTCTAGGTGGTGCTTCAGCCATTAGTGGTCCTTTGTTAAAAAAAACCACCCAACAGCCCTGATGAGCTTCCAGGGAACCCCCAGCCCTTCTCCAAATGCACTGTGGAAGCTACTATTCTGTGAGATCACCCACCTGTTCAGTCATCTTATTTACATGGGTCCAAAGGTTTTGGTCATTTTATTATTTTGAGATACAGCGTGCTTTTCCCCAGTGAACTCAAAGCAACTTGTATCTTTCTCCTGCTGCTCTCAATGTTATCCGCTGAACAACAGCCCTGTGAGGTAGGCTGGGCCGAGACTGGCCCAAAGCCCCCCGGTTGTCTCCATGGCATGAGTAGGAACTAGAGCCCAGGTCACATGAGGCCCAGTACTGCGTTCTTCACCGCTACGCCACACTGGCTCCCTGCGCGAATTCAGAACTGCAGTCACTTTTCGTTTGCCTTCTGCAGTCGCATCTACTCGCTTAGCCGTTTGGCCTTGACAGCCTGCTCCCAAGCTTGAACATGGGGATTCCTTTGGGAAACGGCCGCATCTGCGTAACGCGCTCGCTCTGTGTTCACTCTGTTGTGTGAGCCGTTACATTTTAGGAAATTCGTTGGTGTCTCTGAGTACAGGTTACATCATAATGGTGGAAGTGGGCCTTGTCTGATTTCATGCTTGGGTCTCCAACGGTTTGGTGCTTGGGAATCGATACGAAATTACGGTCGCAACTCGCATGCTGTGTGTCATATTGTTCCATGTCAGCACACTGCCGCTGCAGCCCAAAGCACTAAGCGGGTGTTTCGTGAAATGCCATTATGGTCTGGCAGGTGCCTGTGCAGTGTCAGTGGGTAGCTCAGGATTCTGGGGTATGTTTTATTTATCAATGTTATGATTCTTCTCATATGATGATCTTTTAAAACGCAAACTGTAATACCAGTATTCATATACTTCACTAATACCGGGAAATAAAAGACGCGCATCTCCGTCTTTTATTTCACATCTAGAAGTGATGCAGGTCTTTGAGCCCAATCGTTTGTTTTTCAAAGAAGTGTGGGGCTTCTGTCAATTAAAAAAAAATATATTTTAGAAAATAAAGTGGGGTGGTTTCCCCATCGCAGCAGTCCGTCATGTGCTACAGTGAAGCCACTGGGCACACAGAGCTCATGAGACCACCGTTTTGAAAATGCAGCCCCCGCTCTGGCGCTGTGGCGTCATGTGAATCCAGCAAGTGTTGGTTATGGGAGGGCTGAACAGCCCTTGCATAGCTCGTGCCCTCTGACATTTGGGGCTGTTTCATCCATGGCCTGTTTAGGGTTCTTTAACCCTCCTATAACTCACACTCAGCATGACACCCCTGGTCATAGTTTCTGGGTGGCAGGCCTTCTAGTTTCTATGTGCAGATCTTAAACCTAGAATTTAGACTTCTAGGCACTCTGGTGTCCCATAACGCGGAATGGTGTTTATGAAGTTCTCTGCCATGCACAAGCGTAGAATCTGGCTCCATCTTCAGTCTTCAGATTCCTGGACTACCTGCTTGATCCTCAGGTGCCGTGCCTTTTGCATGGAATGCAGTCCCTGTAATCAGGGCACAATTATTTCTAAGCACCAACCAGTTCTGGGTTACCACCTCAGACAAAAACGGATTGTTATACAAGAACTGACTTCCATTTTCCTTAAGGACATACATCAGTGAACTCCCCTGCTAGTATTAGCTGCTGCTCCATAAGATTCTGCATTTCGTTTGGTGGCTGGAGCATGTAGAATAGCCAAAGTAATGCAATCAGTGCGTGTGTGTGTCTGTGTGTATTAAAAAGGAATCCTTTTTGTGTATCCTTTCGTTCCTTGTTTTCAGTATGTATTGGTGTATATTACAATATCCTGTGATAGCCTTCCCCAGACTGGTACTCTTCACATGTGCTGGATTGCAACGCCTACCATCCCCAGCCAGCAGGGATACTGGACTTTTTTCCTTTCTTTGTTATAACGATACCTGGCTAGCCCTTTTGTAGATAGGTTATTTCATTACCCAGGAAAGGTTAAGAGCGCAATGGTATACAGATACACTCAGAAGCACTGAATTCCGTGAGGTCTACCTGAGAGCAGGTATTTATGAAATACTTGCCTGGCGCACAGCACAAATGGCTGTTACGGAGATGAGGCAAAGGGCAGGTATCCTGGCCGACCCGGCGTAAAGCAGAGGTTGCCTGCACATCCTTTGACCCCACTGCTCCCAACACCGTCTGAAAGCTCTTCCACAGCAATCCAAGGTGCCAGTTAGAAAAAGGTACTAATTTGAAAACAGGAAGAATATCTTGGTACATACCTTGGTGGGTGTCAGTAAAGGTGTTCGGGGGTATTTTGAAGGCATCTTAAAGAAGAAAAGGGAAACCTGGAAAGAGGCTGCGTGGCAGTGATGGCAAAGGAGGTGCTGAAGCGCACGGCTCTCTCCAGACATAGAGGACACCTTATTGCCAGATATTAGTGATCCCCCCCCCCCCGTTATGCATTTCCTGACCGCGTTCTCCTCCCTCTGTCTTTGCTCACTGTGGTGTTTTGAGGGCAGGCTGCTGAGTAATGCTTTGTCTGTAGGGTCTGGGGACACGCAGCCTGTTTGTGTAGGAAGACCTGTGAATGGCATTCGAGTGCTCAGCTCGCTGCTTGCGAGAAGGAATTCTGAGGCTGGAGTTGCAGCTCAGCTGGCTTTTTAAACATCAGAGTCTGTGCATCCTGCAGACGGTTGGGTGGTTCATGGCTATAGCAGTGCCCCTTTGGTTAGACTCCGAGGTCCCTCTGACGCAGGGGGTGGGCAGCTTGCGGCTCTCCAGATGGTTTGGTCTCCTCAGCCCTGGGCAGCACAGCCAGTGAGGAGGGCTGGTGGGAGGGGTGGACCGCACTGTGTGGTGGCTCACGAGGCACTCGCCCTGCGGCAGGAGCTCCGCGTCTGTCCCCAGAAGGGGCCAGCCAGATCCCTCTGGGTGCCCACAGGCAGGGGGCGCATGTGCCCTGGCACGGGGTCAGCCCCCGGCACGTGGGGCCGTTGAGCTGTTGGAGGTCGCCAAAGCTGGACGGTGACACGCAGCAGAAGGCAGCGCGAAGCAGGGCCGAGATTCCCGCTTACTCCTGGCATTTCCCTGGACAAGCTTGAGCAAGTGCTGAACTGGAGTACCTGTGGCGCCTCTCCGAGCCTCTGCTGGCAGCACCGAGACGGCACGCGGTCAGGCTAGGCCAGTACGCTTTGGCAGCCGCCTTCCCTGTGAATTTGTCCAGCCGCAGCTCAGAGCCCTCCAAATTGGTGGCCATTGCGGCTTTCTGTCGAAGTAGCTCCGTAGCTTAAGAAGCACTTCCTTTTATCTGTCCTGAACTCTGGCTTGAAATCGGTTGGCGGCTCCGCAAATGGCTTCCTTGAGCTCTGCTCAGAGGAACCTCCGCAAAGAAGGCAGTACGCTTTGCATATGGCTTTGAGGCCGGTTCCTCCCTGGAGGCCTTGTGAGTGCCGGGCCGCCACATTGTGGCCCAACAGGGAGGCAGACCTGCCTCCTTAGCTGCAGCGTGGATCCAGCCGGCTGGCTTCCCGAAGGCCTTGCGGGAGATCCCAGCCTCTCTCAGGACTAGGGGGGTCCTGGCCCAGCGCTGAAGACCTGGAAATATCCATGCGTGGGGGGGATTATTCTTCTGTCCCCCCTCGCCCTCCCCCGGGCTTTCACATCTCTATCCTGGACCAGATATGGTGGCTCACTCCTAATATAAATGGAAGGGGCTGATGCTTTGGAAGTTTGTGTATTTTGCAGGCATGCGGATTGCCTGGCTAACTGCCATGGCAGCAGAGAGAAGTCCAGCTAATACTCTCCTCCTCTCTTTTTGCAGTACTTTACTGGCTTGGAGTGTGGACACAAGTTTTGCATGCAGTGCTGGAGTGAATATTTAACTACCAAAATAATGGAGGAAGGCATGGGACAGGTAAAATACTTTTCCCCATTATGTTCGTGTTGGGGGTGGGAACGGCTGCAAAGTCACACCTCATGGCTGGGGCTCGTCCCCGTCCTTGCAGCAGGGAGGTTGGGAGCTCGTCGGCTTAGTCCTGCCCTGCCCTTCTGAGACCAGACCCAACAGGCGGCCTCTCCAGGCTTTGGAGTGGCGAACAGGATTGTCTGACCTCATCCTGTTGGAGGCACAGGGCCGAGTCAAGATCGATCACTCGTCCTCCATTCCCTGTGGGACAGGCAGTCTCCTAGGAACTACAATCTCCTGGTTAGTCACCAAGGCCAGCCCGACTTTATGGACTTCTGTGTAAGCTTTTCTTGGGTAGGGGGAGAATATTTGCTTCTATCTTCTGTGTGTTTAATGGGGAATGGTGAGATAAGAGCTAGAGATTTTATTTCTGTCAAGGGTCATTCTCCCTTGGTAGTGCTTTCCTGTCTGCTGTCTGCCGTCTCTCTCCTCCCTCTTTTTGCCACCCCTCTTTTCTTCTCCTCTCTCCTTGCTGCCACTTTTTACATCCCCTCACTTCCTCTTCCTCCCTGCAGGGTTGCTGGGGAAGGGGCAGGGTGTTCTGATCAGAGGTCCAAACTGATTGCTTGCAAAGGGCTTTGAAAATGATGCCAATGGCTGCCAGTTGCCCATCCCTGGCTTAGACTGTCCCGTAACTGTTTTGTTCTTGAAGGGCTGCTTCAGCTTCCAGAGTTAGTTCTTAGAGTATTCATGGCCATTTAAACTAATCAGACATTATTTCTGACATCTCTTTTCCTCTTCTTTGCCACCCTCTCTAGACAATTTCGTGCCCTGCTCACGGCTGTGATATCTTGGTTGATGACAATACAGTTATGTAAGTACTCTAGTTGATTTGTGATTGCAATAACATCTCCCTTCCTCTCTGAAGCCCTAACATGGATTTAAGAGTGCCAGCTGGCGGTTGTGTTCTGACCAAAGGTGTGTCAAACTTGTGTGTGGAGTCGAGGGCACTTGGACCAGTGAACACCCCGGGAGCAGTGATCCTCTCTCATCATCGTCTTGAAAGTCACTTCATGCCTTTGCGTTGCCATCTCCTCCTTTTTGCTTGCCGCAAATGCTTGAAAGAAAAGTGGCAAGAATTTAGGTTACAAGGGTGTTATAAGATTTCTAGGTTAGCATATTGGCGTAAACAATATGTAATCCTGCAAGGAAATATGTCCGGTTCATTTGGCAAGGGCTTAAAGGAGTGGTGGCACTTAGGAGCTGTCCCAGCCTGTCCCGCTGAGTCACACTTGGGGAGAAATGTGATGGATCCACACTATTGTGTGGTTTGCAGCCGTGTTTGCCCCACTTCTTAGTCACAAGAGGCAGAGTACAGCTGGCAATCTCCTTTTCCTCTGTACTTCAATGGGCTGATGGTTCTTCAGGAAAAGAGGAGGATGGTCCATAGCGTTATCAGATGTTGCTGTAACACTCCATTCCTGTGGCTAGAACTGATGGAGCAGAAAAGTACCGGGGTGGGGAGGATAAGAGGAATTGCAAACTTGCAAGCTGCTTTGAAGATGGGAATATGTCTCTGTTAATACACATGGCTTTCTTTTTGTACAAACTCAAAAGGATGGTTGCTGAAGTTTTCATCAGCTATTTTTACAGGTTATAGCAAGAGACTGAAGTGTAATTAAGTCATCTAGTAAATTGAGTTTGTGAAGCTGCTGCCTCGTAATACACGTGTTAGTCAGCTTCCTTATATAAATCTTTCCTGGAATGAAATGTTGGCAGTAGAGAGATTCTTCTTTCATTTCCTTTGGGTTGTGATAGCTCAAATTAAAATTGTGCTTCTTCATCAACAGTTGTTTCTTTGCATGCATTTTACACTGTGCTGGAGCTGTATGCATTCTGAATGTGTGCAGTTGTACTCTTGTCACCATGTGCAACCTGTGTAAAGGATTCCAGGGATGTTGCATAAGCTCGGAATAGTCTGATCACAGCCCCGTTCCAGTGCTTGATGCTTCTCAGCTGCAGAGCTTTGGTTCTGCAGCCGGGGTTCCCCTTCGGCGGGGGACGTTTATTCAGGCTTCCCCTGCACACCTCAAGAGCAAAAGGCGCAGTTGCGATCGGCCTTTTCCCCCAGTAAACCAACTGCGGATGATCTCGCTCATGGCAAACCATCCATGGAGAAGTGCTGGTCCAGCGCTGAGAGCAGGCACAGCCGGCTTGGCCGTTGTGCAGCGCGTCACGTCTTCTTGCACTGTCTGCCCAGCCTCTTGTTCGTCAGACGTCCCACCTGCTCGTCTTCAGAAGCGCTCGGAGGTCCCCAGATGGTTTCCATGCAAGTACTTGTCAGAGCAAAATTGTCCCAGAAAGAATTAAACCTCCATGGCCATTTTGTGGGCCATTTTCTTGTTGCTCTTTTTGGTGTCACTCTAAAATCTTCAAGACGATGAGATTAAATAAAGGGCGTCTCATTTTTTCCTTAAAGCTGCCTTTAGCTTATCTCCGCACGCAGAGCAGTGCCACGAGTAAGAAGTGTTTTCTGCTTTGCTATTCGTGCGGAGCCGCACGTGATATGCTGTTGATGGTTCTGCTGTGGTCTGTATCAGCCTTCCCCAGCTTGATGCCCTCTGAATCGTCTGGGCCGCGGCATCCCTGACCATTAGCTGTGCTGGCTGAGGTTGATAGAAGCTGATGTCTGAAATATATGGCGTGTTCCAGGTTGAGTGCAGTTGTAAACACCAGTTATACGCCTGTTAGGAGCCTGCATTTCGTATTTGTGCCAGGTTATGAATAAACAAAAGGAATAAGTGTCAGGTGTTGGGTACACCAGATAATTCCTTTCTGCAGTTCCCCTTAATTATTTCCCTGAACATTGTGGCTTGCTAATTAATTTGTTTCCTTAGAGTGTACTTTGGGTGATTTATTGTCATGAACTCTGAAGGAACCCCCCAGAATATTATGGATATCTATCCATTTGTGGTCACTTTTATTAAGGAATAGCTTGGTTTTCCAAGCATTTCCTGTCCTCCTGTGTTCCTTATAGTCCCTTAAATGTAAAATTTGATCCACTAATGAAAAGCAGAAGGATGTCTGTTCAGAACCTGAGAAGTGGCAGTTTTACCTAGAAATATTGAGGATGACCAGAGTGTTCATATTGCACCTTCATTATTTTGAGTTTTAATCAACAAGAAATTGTAGAGTAACTCCAGTTTGTTTAACCCATAGGCAACCCAGAGTTTCCAGGGTCGCATGTTGCAAAACCTACCTAGCAATTGGGCATTCATTGGTTGGTAATTAAAAGCACAGACAGTGAACAGTCCCATGCACGTCGCTTGGCCCCCAGCAATCCTGAAATTCCATAGCTCTGGAATTGCTGCCATGACATACAAACTGTGTTATTCCGTGGATTTTATTACTGAACGTTGGCTCACAGTGGCCTGGCATTTCTCTTGGCTGGCTTGCCGCTGTGTTGCCTCTCTGGTTTTTCTGAATGAGGATGCAGGAAGGGCAGAAGGTGGGAGGCAGGAATGCTTCAGGTTGGTTCTAGAGAATATTTGCTCAAAGCTTTCTCTACAGCTGCTTACTGGGGAAGATAAACAGTGGGGGAGAAGCTTCCCCAAAGGGCTGCTTGCTCACCGTTTACCAAGATGGTTTTGTAGTGTGGCTGCAGCAGCCAGGATGGGTGGGTGGTCTCACTTGCTCTGCACGAGGCCGCAAAGCCCTGCAGGCATCATGCCCCTACAGTCACCCTCCCCCAAGCTGGTACCCTCCAAATGTTTGGGAGCACTACTCCCAGCATCCTGACCATTGGCTGTGCTGGCTGCAGCTGATGGGAACTGAAGTCCAAAGCATCAGGGCTCCCATAGAACCACCTGAGGAAAGGGTCCCTGACCGTAGGAAGTTTGACCGTCTCGGCCCCAAGGGACCAGAGCTTTCTCCATCAGCCAGCCGTGCGGGGGTCTCCCACAGCAGGAGGCGGCGGAAGAAATGCCGAGAGGCATCCCTGTGTGGCTCGCTCACTGAACGATCTGACTTCAGAACCTTTTTCTCTTAATGGAAAGGAAACTCAGTATGCCCGACTGCTTCTCGTCAGATACGATATCAGTACTAAAATACATCATAATGTGATGCTATGTTTTTGTTGTGTTCTCACATATATTTTTAAAAATAGATTCTCATGGCTAACAAAACAGAAAACATCCTTGCATGGTCATGTTGTTGAGGTGCTCCGTTGACTCGTTCAGCGCCTCTCCCCGAATGGTCTCCATTCTAGCCAGTCTCCTTAGAGGAACTGGTTCCCGAATGGACTTATCCTCTTTTCCTCTCACACCCTTTCTGCTTTTATCCTTTCTTTAGATTGTAAGCCTGAGGATAGGGGCTATTTTGGTCATTGCTGACCTTGTATTAAGTTGCTTCAAGAGTGCTTTGGGCCGAAGGTTAGTGGGGCAAATGATCCATCGCAGGCTGCAGTTTGGGACTGAGATAATAGTGATAATTATACATGGTGAGTCCTCACTTGGAGGGTGAGACGGCAGTGCGAGCTTCTTGAGTACCATGGGGTGTGTCAGCAGTGATCAGCACGATCGATTGTCCACTCCGACTTGTCGACGCCTTGTTGGACAACTTGACCTCCGAAGGTGGGATCACGAGCAGCACCTGCTCCCCGCAGGCAGCTGTCCTCTTAGGTTTCTTGTTAAGTAAATCCACTGAATCTGTTTTCGGTAGTGTTTGTATTGCCTGCATCGGTGCGAAAAGGTGCCATCAAACCGTCGGTTGGGCCTTTGCCACACATGAAGCAATAGAAGTGCTCTGTCATGCCTGGTGCTGGAGCCAGTCAGATTCCCCGTTTGAGGGTGCGGCGTTCCGGAACTGAGATGCTACAGCAAGAAGAACGTCTTCCCGCCGGCCCCGGCCCACTCTGCTTCAGGCGGTGGGGCTCGGAGCTGGGCCTCTGTGACTGACCTGAGCAGTGCGGTGGGATTTTGTGGGAGAGGGCCGGCCGGCCATCGGGTATCCCAGTTTTGGGCTGTCTGGGGCTTTAGATTCCCACCAGCGCAGTGCGTTGGGCCTGACCATAATCGTGATCTTCCCTTGGTTACCAAAGCTGCTCTGTGTTCCCAGTGCAATATGGCTTCTGTAAGAACCCGCCAGGAGAGATTGTCCTGAGGCCTGGAGGAAGGTGTCATCCGGATAGCCTAGCTCATCGGGTCCAGGAGCACCGGGCCAGTGGCCCTAACAGATGGGGCGAATGATGGTGGTGGGGAACTGGCGGTGAATCTGGAGGGGACAGCCGGGGGAGTCGGTGGCCTGCGCAGACTCGGGGTCTCCTGGAAGAGCAGGCGTATGGCCTGGGAGTGTTTCCTGACCTGGCTTTGCCCCCGCGGTCAGGAGGATGTCTTACCCTTCCAGCGGATTTAGTGACTGCACTCTGCCTGGAGAACGAGTCTCCGTTACACATCCCTTCGTAACCTCTTGGATCAGTTATTGCAGCCGTCCCCAGCCTGGTGCCTTCCCGCCACGTTTGGCTGCAACAGCCAGGATTCCCAGCCCATGGCCCTGCTGGAGGGGTATTCTGGGAGTTGTGGTCCGGGTGCTTCTGAGGGCCATCAGGAAGGCTGAGTCGCTGCGATGTGCCTCTGTGGTGGGGCTGCTTTTGAACGGGACCCGGAAGCTTCAGCTACACGGTCCAGTTGCTTCCCGTTTTGGTGGGTGTTGGTGTGAGGGAGTGTGCAGCACCAGCATTCTGAAGTTTGCACAGACATCTTGTCACCTTCGAGGTCTAGTTATTGTCTGGAAAAGATATGCTAAGACTAGGCTGCACGAGTCTTTCAAAGTGCCTGCACCCATATGAACCCCAAATTCTAAGGGGTTCTCAAATTCCTCTCCAGATTTTATCTGCCAGCCACGCCAGCCGGCACCAGCATGCCGCTTTCTGTGCTAGCACACCTGCTTTATAACTTGTCCCCATCTAAGGCCCCTGGTCTACTTAGAGTAGTCTAGTTTTTGGAAGTGCATTTGAACTAGCTCAGCCTTCCTCAGAATAGTACTGCCCAGATGTGTCGGACTACAACTACCAGCATGCTTCAGTTAGCCATGGCTGGCTGAGAAATGCTGGAAGTTGTCCCGACACCTCTGAAAGACCTGAGAGCGGGAAAGGCTGGGCTAGCGTGGAGGAGCCCATTTGGACAGCTCCCCCGCCAGCCGGCCTCGGGTTGTCTTGGATGACCCCCATCGGACGATGTTGAGGGGCTTCAGCTTGTGACGCGCGAAAAACCGCTGCCGTCGGAAATGAGACGTGCCCGGCGTGTTCCTAACCTTAAAAAGTGGGACATGCCTCTCCAAGGGCAAAGCTGCCTGGGGGGAGAGACGCACTACCTTGGTCAGTCAGCAGAGCAGACGGCTTGCCGGAGGCGAGAGCAGCCTTGCTCAGCCAGACGCACTTGGCCTAAGCCAGCACCCCGTTTCCTGCAGCGGCTGTCCAGGTGTCTCCTGGAACCCTCACCATCATTCGCTCATATTCAGTAGAAACGGTCACGTTTTGGGCAAACCTCGGGGCTTTCACGAAGGAGATGTGCTTGTCTCAGAACTCCGTGATGATGATGAATGCATTGCTCAACATGTTCGTTTTAGGCGCTGGCTTGCTTAAAGTGTCGCAGCTGTAGAGCTGAGGTGAAACTTCGTGGTCTGGCACTGAATGCAAAATCAGAAGTCTGATTTCTGTTATGGTGCTCCAGTGATCACACGGTGGAGTGACTGCTACCCACACGCCGTGTCTCCAGTAATGAATGAAGTCTGCTCAGAATTGTTCTTATCTGCCAGCTTATGGGAAATATTTAATGTTGAACTGCTACTTGCGCTAGATAGTGTTTTGCCTTGACGGTACGTCGCTTTTAAATTCTAAAGTGCACCTTTATCAACAGAGAATCCCAGAGCACTGTATGTGGGATTAAAATGAAATAAAATACAACAAAAATAAGAACTTGAGTACAGTAAAACTTGGAGGCTTATAACTCTTCAACCTGTGGAAAGACACTCAGTTTAAAATACATGGCAATTAAAAAATGCATGGTACCACAAGGAAATTTAGTGCTGGTGCTAGCTATACCTCTTTTGTATAGAGGCTTCATCCTTCCCATTAGATTCGCCATGAAGGTTGGTTGTCCCAACAGCATTGCCGGATGTAAATGACACGGGGAAAGAGAGCTGAATTTTATGACCATGCTGAGGGTCTGTCCACTGACTGACTTTGGGATCAAAATAAAGATTAAGCAGAATTGGTATCTGAAAACTGCTCTGGGTCTCTGAAGGAAATGGTGACCGGCATGCAAATAACGCTGAGTGGAAATCAGCAACCGGGAAGGAATAAAAACGAACCGGGTGAGGCAGCAGAACATTCATTTCTGCTTCTAAATGTGGGGATCAAGCAAAGGGATTGCACTTTAAAGTGTTGGGGAAATAATAGCGTCAGCTGCTAAAAAAATGGGAAACACGCTGCTCTGGTGTCTTCTGGCTTTTGCCAAACTTTATAGTTCATATAAACAACCAGTTTTTGAATTTGAAAAATGAATGTACTCAGTGAAATGTTCTGTTTTTTACTTCACAGGCGCCTGATCACAGATTCAAAAGTTAAATTAAAGTACCAGCATTTAATAACTAATAGTTTTGTAGAGGTGAGTGTTGTATTTAAAATGATATGCTGAAGAAATTAACTGTGATACCAGGGAGTTGTCCTAGTTTTTCACGTCTCTTACAGCAAGGACTAGTGGGCAACTGTTTACAATTTGGTTTCAGATTTCAGAGAGTTGGCTAGCTATATATTTATACATGATTTTGTGAAAAGGTCTTGCCTGAAAAGTAGCTTGGATGATGATGGTTTCATCGAATCCTAAAATAGGAGAGTTGGAAGGGGCCATGAAGGCCATCTAGTCCAACCCCCTGCTGGTGCAGGGCACCAGGTCACACCATCCCACCCAGATGGCTGCCCAGTTTCCTTGAATGTCCCCAGTGTGGGAGAGCCCACCCCTCTCCAGGTTCCACTTTTATGCTGCCCTCACAGCGAGGAAGCGTCTGCTGATGGGCTGGGGTGGGTTTTGTAGCGAAACGGTGGTAGTTCCCTGAAGCTGAAGTGCAGCTTTGGGCAAAGGCGACTTGTGGGAAGGAAGGGGCTGTTTCATAACTTGGCATCTCTTGTACCTGCTTGCTAAGAGAGAAGCTCCTTCGAGTTCCGTGGGACCGACTTCTAGAAAGGTATATCTAAGACTGCCGCCTCTTCCTGCATATCAAGATCTGGAACGCTTTTCTTTCCCCAGTGCAATCGACTGTTAAAATGGTGTCCTGCTCCCGATTGCCACCACGTTGTTAAAGTTCAGTACCCTGATGCTAAGCCTGTTCGCTGTAAATGTGGCCGCCAGTTTTGGTAAGCATTCCCCGTGCTCGGGACTTGGGGCTGATGAAGCGAAGCGGCAGCGTCTGGTCCCTCTCTCAGAAATGCCCTCCGACAGAGCAGGCTCGAGCTGCAGCATGTGACCAGAGTGCCCAGCACGGACCTGGCCAGTTCCATAAACCGCTTTTGCCTCCTCTCCCCCTGCGGTCTGCCAGAGAGTGCGAAGCTCGAGACTGTCCAGCACCCGGCAAGCCAGAGTATAAGGCCCGCAGCTCATGGACTTGGTGGGCCGCAATCACACAGGCCCGCCCTGCAGGGAAATGCCAGGTGTTGGTGTTGCGTAACTGCAGGCTCTGTGTTGTTGCATCTTTCTTCCAGCTTCAACTGTGGTGAAAACTGGCACGATCCTGTTAAATGCAAGGTAAGCATTTTCCGTCTTCTCCCCCGGTCGTGTGGACCTGGGCCAGTGGTGGCAACGTAATAGAGCTTTTCTGCTTAAATGCTGGAGTAGCGATGTGGTAAAAGGCCTCTGTGACTGTTGGCAGGACTGCTCCCCAAGTGGCATCAAAGCAGGGACAGCTCGTGCGAGCATCTTTGATCGATGCGGAGGTCTCATTTCTTAGCTAGGCTGGTTACCTTAAGTCAGCCTCCCCAAACCGGGTGTCCTCCAGATGCTTGGCTCTCCTGCTCGGTCAGCCTCAGCCAGCACGGCCAGTCGATAGCGGGAAATAGTGGAAGTGGCACGAAAGGGTGATGAGAAATTACTTCTCTAGGACTGCCTAGTCAAGGCACCCAGTCTTACTAACAGTTGTACGAGATAATCAACATCCCATTGCATGTCTTGAGTCTGGAAGGATGCGGCTTGCATTACAGGCTGGGATATGCACAGGTTTTTTTTTTTTAAATTCCAACGACCCCGTGAGCTATAGATCTATGTTTGCGGGATGATCTTTTACAGATGATGTTAACTGACGACTTAAAGACCTTTCAGTTACACCTCAGAACAATTCTTTTCTCCCTCTTCTGGCAGTGGTTAAAGAAGTGGACCAATGATTGGATTGCAGCAAATACAGAGGTTTCTGCTCTTTGTCATGGTCTCTGTGCATCACACATACGGGTGCTGCGCCTGCACAGTGCTTACATTCAGGAAAATTCTCTCAGCTTATTAATATTTCTGGCAGAAATGCTGCACACCCCCCATAAATAGGTGGAGTTGCTGCCCAAACACCAGTCCGTTTTGGACCGCCGTTTGCTGTGCCTCAGGTTCTCTCAGTCTACTTTTGATTTCCCTCACAAATATCTTTCTTTCTTAAATCCTTCCTTAATCTTTCTAAACCCTTGTAGAACTTTTCTCTATTCAACTTATATCCCCCTCTGCCTGTTATTCCCTTAATTCCTCTCCCCCCTCAACCTACTTCTATTCCCCTAGCAACTCCCCCCCCAGCATTTACTTCTTCTCTTCTTCCTCGCTCTTCTTGTTCTTTGTCCTCTCAATGGCGCAGCGTTCTGCCTTTAAAAGGAGTGCACAGTGCGGAGTGACAGTGCCATCTTCAGACACACACTCGTTCTGCCTGCTGTGTCTCAGAGAAGGGCACCGGGTGGACAAGTGTGTCCACTCTCAAGCATTCATGAAACACGCACACAGAAATTGTGAAAGTGGACTGAAGAAAGAACTCTGGGACAGAGCTCGTCTCGCCATGAAGGCGGCCACTCCTGGCAAATCTACAACTGAAAAAGGTGTGGCTGAGCACTCAGAGTTGGTTCCTGAACCGATGGTTAAGAGCTCTGGGACTGCAAAATAGTGTCCTGATCAGTCTCAGACTCCCAAAAATCCTAAGGAGAAATGTAAACATCTTGAAAGCAAAGAGCCTGAAAAGGAGAAACGTCCCAGGAAGGAGAAGCCAGAAACAAAAAGGCAAGCGGCACTCCCACGCCATGCCGCTTACTCGGAGGCTCCACCCCACATAGAAATGCAACTGAGCCCATCAGTACTGCGAGCCTCCAGTTGGAGTCCCATTGGTACGAACGACTCCGGACTGCCTCTGCATTGTGCGGCAAGGCCATCACCACGGCCATCTCCTTACTCCCGGGCCAGTCCATCTGGATCGCGTGCCCCAGACCGACACTGCGCATGCCCATCTCGGATGGAGAAATTCAGGAGCCTCTGGCACACTCTCCAGTCCCGCCTGAACCATCAGTACAGGTGATTCACAACCCTCAGGAGCAAGTCCAGCGTCTTCACACGCCTACACTGTATGGACCGCCTTCCACTGAAGCCTTTCCAGGTTCAACGCACAGATCCACCCCTGTGTTCAAACTGAAGATCCCTCAGTACAGGAGGAGCCAGTCTTGGATGTCCCCTCCATTTTGAGGATATCGACCCGGATTTGCATGAGATTCCTTCCCACCTTACAGACCTCTGTATCCATTGCCTGCTCCATGTTGTTGACTGCAACAGCCCACAGATCTGCCGTCGACATCTCGGGATGAGACTACCTCTGCTGCCCATCCAGGGGAAGAAAGATCACCGACTTGCTCTCCTTCCCCGAGCACGGTCTGCATGTCGGACACGGATTCTGGGGCTGCTGAACAAGCGAGCACTTCACCTGACCTCAAGGTGTCGACACAAGGTCTGGGATCGCCTGGAGAAAAGCACGGGCCATTTTTCAGAGCAAGTGACTCACACGGCAATGTCCCTGGGATTTGACATCCAGTGTCACACTGACCCGGAACAAGACAACATTTATGATGCTATTAGGAGAGGACTACCATTCATCCCCACACCATGGCAAGCAAGGATGGATAAACAGCTGTTCATCAGTTACTCGGAACATGGCAGAGCAACACCCATAGGACCACAGCGCTTGTCCAGGCGGGTGGTCGAGACCATCAAGGTTCCTTACCGGCTTGCCAAATGAGAATTGCTGATCACCCTGAAGGGGCACTCGACCGGGGCCGTCACTGCCTCGTCAGCTCTACATGCTGGCGTGACACCACCGGACTTGTGCAAAGCTGCAACACGATCCTCCCCAGGTACCTTTGTCTGTCACTCCCACCTTGACGTTAAAGCTCGGAAAGGCGGCTCCTTCGGTCATGCCGCCCTCTCGACTCTCCTGCAATAACAGCACCATCCCACCTCTTGGTGGGGTCAGCTTGCTGATCACCCATGTGTGTGATGCACAGAGGCAACGAGCAAGGAAGGCAGGTGGCTTCCGTGTGACTGTTGTTCTGTGAGTGGTCTGCGCGTTCACACAACCCACCCGCCGGCCCCAAGTCAGTGTTTGTGGTTGGATCGAAATGAGCCGACTTCCCAATGTGTCAGCACCAGGTGGGGAGCGACTGGTTGGCCTCCAGCTGGGCTGGCGAGAGGGAGGGTGGGGACTCCACCTACTGATACGAGGGGGAGGGGGTGCGGAGTTCCCACCAAAGGTATTAATAAGCTGAGTGGACTTTCCCGAATGCCGGCACTGAGCAGACACCCGTATGTGTGAATGCACAGATGAGCGATAGTTACAGGTAAGCAGCCTGCCTTTCCCCGCGGAATGGAAGTGCTCGGCAGGGCTGCTTTTCCCTCGCAGAGACACAGTGCCACGTCTTGCGTCCTCACACCCTTGGCGGGAACAGGTGTTCTTTATTCCAGCGACCCTGTGGACTGTGCGCCTCTCTTGCGGGGAGATCCTTTACGTTTGACGTTAAGCAATGACTGAAAGAGCTCAGAACAATTCCTTTCTCCCTCTTCTCACAGTGGTTAAAGAAGTGGATTAAGAAGTGTGATGACGACAGTGAGACTTCAAATTGGATTGCAGCAAATACCAAGGTTTGGCGGCTTCTCCAAATTTAAAGTGCTCACCCTTTGCTGCTAGCAGAGACGCTGAGCCACATCTCGCTTCTCTGTACCCTTTGCAGGAATGCCCCAAGTGTCACGTGACTATAGAGAAGGACGGCGGCTGTAATCACATGGTCTGTCGGAACCAGAATTGCAAAGCAGAGTTCTGCTGGGTGTGTCTTGGCCCTTGGGAGCCCCACGGGTCTGCCTGGTATGTTTTGAAAGAAATGCTTCTCGGGCTTTGCGGCGAGTCTGGCTGTGGCACCGCATTGGTCTCTGCGCTGCACATAAAGGTTTCCCTTGCAGGGATTCAGGCTCGCGAGGCCGCGGCTGGTGCATGTGCACAAGTGAGCCGTGCTCCCCATCGCGTGCTTTCCTGAGCGTGGTCGCGGGGCTTGTGTGCCAATGAGCCTGTGCCCTGGCGTGTTCTCCGGAGGCAGCCAAAATTACCAGAAGGGCTTGTGCTCATATCTCCGGCGATGTACTTCCTGGTGACAGGCTGCCGTTTGGGTGCCTCAGTGAGAGGAAACTAGAGCGGCGACAGTAGAAATGTCCAGTGTTCATTTAAAAAATCTATTTTCAGGTACAACTGTAATCGCTACAACGAGGATGATGCAAAGGCAGCGAGGGATGCCCAAGAGGTGAGTCCATAACATTTGGCGATCGAGATGAGCGGCCTCAGTGCGACATGGTCCTGTGGACGTTTAGGCGGAGCAAAGGGCTACGATTCCCAGCATTCCCCAGCCAGCACAGCGTAGCCGGTTGGCAGATGCTGGGAGTTGTGGGACTTTGCGTCGTCGTGCCCTAGTTATATCGCCCGGTTTGCAAATCCTGGCTGAGCACGCGAGCATGGAGCACAGCCGGCTTCCAGGTGAGATTCCACAAAACTGTGGAACTTTGACCGAAGGGGCCAACTGTTTTGTAATTCCTTGTGGATGTTGAAATTCTGGCTCACTAGTAAAACGATGAAGTGTGAGATGAGAGATCCTTTCCACAAAACGAATGCCCTGCGTGGTTCTCATTTCCACCTCTGTGGTCTCTTTACTGTGTTCCGCGGCCTTTCTGCCGTGCGTTTTCACTGAAAAGCCCTGTCGCTTTGGCGGCTGCACCTTGGGGTCGCTGCGGCTCCTGCCGCGCTCACAGTACCTTTTGCAGGGCAAGCGGGGCACTGTCCCCCAGCGCTGCCGCCATGCATTCTGCGTCGCGAGCGGGCGGCCTCCAGCAGGAGCCCTGCTGCAACAGGCGGGGCGCTCGGAGGGCGCGCACTGTCTCCCCGAGCCTCCGGACGCTGCCCCCTGCCGCTTGCGTAGCGCACAGAGCCGTTCGGCTCGGGGCGGTCCGCATTTCCCTCCCCCTCCCGGGCGCGGGAATCTTGGGGGACCCGCTGCACTGCGCGCACCACGGGGCGCTGCCCGGCCGACCCGTGCTGTGCGGTGAGCCCTCCCTCGCGGGGAGAGCCCTCTGCCGCTACGCTGTTTCCACGGTCGATTCTCTTTGCCCCAATGGGAATTCACGCAGCGATCCCGAGCAGCCCTGCAGAGGTACCTCTTCTACTGCAACCGCTACATGAACCACATGCAGAGCCTGCGCTTTGAGCACAAGCTCTACGCCCAAGTCAAGCAGAAGATGGAGGAGATGCAGCAGCACAACATGTCGTGGATCGAGGTCCAGTTCCTGAAGAAAGCGGTGGACGTCCTCTGCCAGTGCCGCGCCACACTCATGTACACATACGTCTTTGCCTTCTACCTCAAAAAGAACAACCAGTCCATCATCTTCGAGGTAAGCCCGCCTCCGCCGCGGCTGGCCCGCTTCCGCGCCTCTGGCGGGTGCAGGAAGAGCCCCGGGGGGCGCCAGGCCCGGAGTCCTGCTCTGGGCTCAGCCACTGGCTTCGTGGTCACCGCACATCCGAAGCGACCTGCTTTATTTCCGGTACAAGCACAGCAGGCGTCTCCCACTCCCACTCCCACTCCCACTCCCACTCTGGACTGCTGAGCCGCCGGGCATCTCTTGGCACGTGGAACGTGTCGGGCTGTGGACAGTTTGGGTTCTGCTGCATCGGTCGGAAGGATGCTGGCTTTGGTTTTCCTCAGCTGCTCAGCAACCGTGCTGGCCTCGGCCACGTGTTCTGCCAGCTGTGCTCGAGAGCGGCTCTTTTTGGTGTGCTCGACGAGCTTGGCAAGCGTCCAGTCCTGAGAGGCCTGCCCCAGAGGGGGTGAGCACGGCAGGGACACCAAGCTGGTTCAGACCAGGTGGAATGGCCACTCCAGGAGGGCCTTGGTCGGGGGAGGAACTGTTGAATTTTTGTCTTCGTTTCTATGAGCTAATTATATTTTTCTGTCTTGTTTTTTAATGGTTGACTCTCCCTTGTGAAAAGTGTTCTATTGAAAGGCATTCTGTGATAACTGAAAGGAAGCATTTCTTGAGAATCATGGCCTTAAACACAATCAGTGCAAGTTTAGCTGGAAAAAGCAGTTTCTCAGAGTTGCAGGCCTTCTTTCTGTCCTTCACCCTTCCAATAAATCTTCATTTTGACAGCAAACTAGGAAATCTGAGAAAGACTAAAAATGTTTTTGCCTTCTGGTTTGTACATTAACTTCAGCTGGTTTGTTAATTTCAGCCCTAACTGTGAGGTAAGGAAAGAGTTCGGCGGTGGGGGAGCCCAGGGTCAGTCACATTGCACTGTTACCTTGCTTCAAAACAGGAGGAGTGGAACTGTCATTAAGAACTGTCTTGTCTTAATGGTGAAAAAGTGTTGACTGTTTTACCGGAATAAGATGGTCATTAGGCTTCTTGTTGATGGCTGGCCTGGCTTGCAGTTGAAAAAAAAATCCAGAAAGCAAGTTTCTGTCAAAAACTTGACAGGAAATGTGCTGTTAAACTTCCTGTGTCGTACGTAGACCAAATCTGAAACCCCCCTCAGGACTGGAGGGGGGGGGGACGTTCCAAGAAAACTTCAGTAAGCATCTCCTAGCAAAGGAGTGGCCCTCATGAAGGGTGCCCCGCCATTCCTTTGTACTCCTTATTTTAGCGTTGTTTACAAGATGCTCCTCAGTGCACGGAGCCGCCTGGGTGACATGTGCTTGGTTTTTCTGTTTACTTTCTAGAATAATCAAGCAGATTTGGAAAACGCTACTGAGGTCCTTTCCGGGTATCTGGAACGAGATATATCCCAAGATTCACTGCAAGACATAAAGCAGAAAGTGCAAGATAAGTACAGGTAGGGTCCTTCTTCACTACAGGTGATTTGCCCATGTCTGAAGCCTCCCACGAATACACCTTGAAACCAGTTTAGGCACATCATGCCCTAGCAGGTGGGTAACGGCTGAGCGTATTAATGAGAGGCGGAACCAGTTTGCATGTCGTCAACAATGTATGGTTAACAACTTGGTCCGTGGGGTCCCACACCCTTGCACTCCCGCTGCCAAAAACAACCACTATGGTGCCCGAGCCCCAAACTCTACGTTGTGGGACATGCCATCCCAGGCAGGCTCTTTCTTCCAGCTCAATCTGCTGGGGAGGACTGTGTGGTAGGAAGCCCATCTTCTAGTGCAGGGACTTCCGCTTCCCAGCATCCTTGCCCTTTCGGCCATCTTGGCGGTCGATTCGGGGAGCTGATGTCCAAAGCATTTGGAGGCTCCCTTTTGCCTCTTGCTGCTTTAGTGCACCGTCTCCAGAGCCTTTCCTGGGGATTACCCAGCTGTGAGATTAACCAGAGGCTGGACTCCATCTCCGATTACCTCCCATTGGAACTGGGCAGCGGTGTCGCTGAGCCACAGTTGTCTCCTCCTCCTCCTCCAGCGCTGCACAGATATTTTCCCCTGGAAGTGTGCTCTCTCCGTGTGCGCGTGCGTGTGCACGGTGAGCAGCCGTCCTCGTGTGCTAACGGCTCTTGTTCACCCTTGGCTTGGCAGATACTGCGAGAGTCGGCGAAGGGTCTTGCTGCAGCACGTGCACGAGGGATACGAGAAGGACCTGTGGGAATATATTGAGGACTGAGACTGCCCGCATAAAACGAACTCTGGAAACCTCTCGCCATCTAGAGTGCTCATGCAATTAAAGCAAAACACACACAAACGGGGCACTACGCCTGTTACACCGCTGGTCTGTAGTACCGGAATTCTGTTTTTGTTAACGGAAAAATTTAAGTAAATTATATTGTAATAAAAAAAGGTAGATAAACCATTGTACAACAGTATTCTAGGTGGCCAGTAAGTGTGACAGACGCACTAAAAAAACAAAGCAACCCTCCAACTTTAACTTGTAACGTAGCTTCATTCTCCAAGCTGACTTCTCCCCTCCTTTCTCCTATGCGTATTACAGATTAAATTTAAAACAGTTTCTTGACACTGCTTTTCATGTCCAACCAGCCATTTTGATGTTCTTTGGTATGAGATTTCCCCTCCCCTCCCATCTGCTCCCCTCACACATGCACCAGTTCATGGGTGAATGTTGTTTGGCTTATTGTAAAGGAGATTTGGGGAGGGGTGGGAGGAGGGGGTACACAGCGAGGAAAAAACTTTGTATATGACTTTTAAAAAACAAAGAGGACAACACAGTATTTTTCAAAATTGTAAATAGCGCATATGCATGGACAAAGAGCAAGCGTGGCACGTGTTTGCATAATGTTTAATTACAAAAATATTTATTCTTTAAAATCTTCAAGATGTCTATTTGCTGTGCATTTTTCTTTCCGTTTGCTTTTTACCTGGAATAGGGATGGGCGGTGGGGCAGCGTGTGCTCCTGCGATGACTCTCCTTCCCCCTCCCTCCCTCCCTCCCTCCCTCTCGGTGTCGAGAGAGACCCTGGCCCCCCTCCTGCGGCTCCTTTGCAGCTATTCCATTGTTCGGGTGTGTTCATTGCTGGCAACGGACACCGTCCCATTTGCACTTCCAACTTTCTGGCGCAAAGCAGCTCACCTCGGCCTGCGTTTCCCATTTGGAAACAACAGCGTAGCGATTCAGGCTGCTTTGCCTCTGCTCAGAACGCCCATCCCTCCTGCACGTCGGGACATCCACCCTGCCTCTGGCTCATAGTCGTTTATAGGAAAGGTTAGGACTTTTCTCTGTGGATTGAAGTGCTCAAATGGAACATTCCGCGTTGTGTTTTCTTTGTCAGTTGTGAAACACTGAAAACAAAGATGGAGCTGCTGCGAGAAACCGTTTTGGGCTGGTTTGTTGGGATAAGTGCCTGCTATAGCAAACACTCCATCGAGCTGCGAGGGTCTGCATTCTGTGAAGTCACCGGGTGTCTCCCCCCCCCCCCGGACAGAAGAGTTGAGTTTCAACTAAACTGGCATTTATTGTCTTTTTTTCCTTTTTAAATGAAAGCTATATTAAAGCACCAGTTGGAAGCAGTTCAGTAAAGCTGCCCCTGCATGGGAGTGCCTTTCTAGTATGTTTTTCCCCTACCATGGCAGTGTTTACACTTCCCAGTTGAGAGGAAAAATTTGGATCTGCTGAAGCAGTAAAATCACAGTCTGTGTAAAGTTGGTTTCCCAAAGGGCTACTTCTGCTATGCTTTCACGTAGAGACTGGCCAGGATCCAAAGATCTGTTCGACAAGTTTCATGTGCACTGAGTGATGCTTCGGATTGCTTTTCTGGGACAGCAGCTCTCCCATGCAGCCTGGCAAAGACTTGGAAAACCGCAGGGAAATGCAAAAAGGGAATTGTTGAAAGAGCATCGGAGTTTACTGCAGGAGTGCAAGCTCTTGAGCCTAATCTAAGACCGCGTGGCTTGTGTATCGACTGAAGTTGGAACTTTGCCTCGGTTCCCATGCAACTTTGCTGTGACAGGGCTTGTTTGCTTGTGGTTCACCTGATCCGTCTCCAAAGCAGAAACAACTTTATGCCTGCTGTTGGGGCTGAGAATGCTGAGCTTCCTTAGTCAAGTTGCACTTGCAGAAGAAACAACTCCAGAGGAGTGGCACTTAGTTCGTCAGAGAATTTTGCGCTCGCATTGAGCGCAGTGCCGCTGTGCTGCTCAGATGCCTCTCCAGAGGTTTTCCGCCACGTCCTCTGCCATGCCTTTGTACACTGCCACCCAGGATTGACTGAAAACTTCCAGTACAGTTAAGATTATCTTTTTCTAAGGTTCTTTTAGCATCTTTGCTTGGAAATGAGTTGATGAACAGGTGGCCATGCTGTGTGGGTGTGTAAAATGGATGAATGTATTCATGCTTCCCGCCCCCAATTTTTCTTGTTTCTAAACAGCTTGCTCTTGCCATTCCCTTCTCTCCATTTTTTAAAAATACAAACTGTATATAAATGTGCTGTATCTTCTGCTTATGAAGACCATACACTTTCCCCCCCCTTTTGGTGGCGGGGTGGGGGGAACTTCCTAAAACTCTAGGTTTAAGAGTGAAACTGCTTAAACAGAAATTCTTGTAAAGGCTTACTCAGAATCTAAACTCCTCCCCCCATCCTTAAAGTCCCTTTTATTAAAATAGCAAATACTTGGCAATGGAGATGCTACTCTCAAGCTTTGGTTGGTGCAATATACTAAAATAAGGTTTGTGTTGACTTTATCATGGGCTAATTGAATGAAGGTCCTCTAGCCACACAAGACAGGAGAGCAGAGCATGGTCTGTATTTAGCACCCACCCTCTTCTATTCCACTTAATTCACAGCAGCTTTTTTTTTTTGGTAGTGTATATATCAGACAGTCTTAATTTTTCAAAACCATTTAACCCTGAAATGTTTTAGTACAACTGCTGTATTAGAAATCTGTTATTGCGTGAGATGGAAGCGATGCTCTTTCGAAAACCTTTCCATGTACAGGAGGATCTTGTTATCCAGCGCTTGGGGGTGGCGAGACAATCGGGCAGGGCTGTGACAGAAGACTTGTAATCTGATTTCTCCATCTAGAGAGCACCTCATGCTGTGGAAATAACTGTTCTTGGACTTCATTGTAACTGCTGGACTGTTCCGTGTTAAGGCTAAACAGAGGGAGAGAAAGCGTTCCTAATTCTAATAAACTTTTATTTTGTTATTTCATTAGTTTTTTGTGTTTGCTTGCTGTAATTTGTCTTCTGCTTTTAAATGGGAGCAGGCATTCGTTCTACCTCCTCGCCCGTTTGGAAGACCTTGCTGCATTAGTAAAGCTAGACAGAGAGAGAAAGCGCGTCTGTGTGTGCCCAGGCAGCCAGCACGGTATATGTTGATAACTTTTGGAAAACGTTCCACTTTGGAATACAGTAAGGAGAACAGATGGAATAAACAAGAGGTTGCCATTGCCCTGGAACAAGTCGGGATCCAGTGGGGCGAAATGCTGCCCTTTCCCCACATGTAAATGTCAACAGATTCGTATATGGGAAAGGGGTATGGAATGCCCGCCTTGTTATGCTACTCAAATAATTGGGCCCATAATTGTTTGATTCTGGGGGTGCGTCTTTTGCACAGTCCTTGTTCAACACAAGGTGGATCCCAGTGTCTGCCCACTCCTGATCTTCTGAATGAGCCTTTAGTTTCAGGCCTTTAGGTCAGGCCTGGCCTCTTGAGTGATGCTGTAAGTGAAGCATGAGAACTTGCCTGCAGTACCAATCGTAATGGATAAAACTGGAATGTTTCCCATTAAAATTTCACACACTCCAATTTCAAATAGGGCAGACAGAAAGTGCTGTAATTTAGTCTTGGGATAAGTCCAGAGCCAACACTGCAGTGTAACATTCATGTCACAAAGATAAAAATAGCAGTTCTGAAAACTTGAGTGTCATTGGAGTCAGCCTTTTTTCGAGCACCAGGTAATCGGAAGTGCAAAATGATGTTTGGGAAGATTATTTGTAATATTTGAGGGATGAGTTCTGGTGATTGTCTCAAACTTTTTCATCTCAGAAATGTTGAAACAGAAACCTTTTAGTGTTCATTCTTCTGTCTGCTTTTTCCTGGGTAGCTAGTAATTTAGCCTTGACAATGCCTTCAACACAGTTGGGGATTGTTTCCATAGAAACAGGACTTCTTTCCTTCTGCAATCCATCTTGCTGATCATGAAGATCGCTAACAGCTGAGGCATAACTGTTTCATCCATCTTTTCCCCTCAGACATCCTAGGTCACTTGTATTGCACCTGCTTCTGAAATACGAATCTAGGTGCAAGTGTGTTTCATTCAGCTTCTGGCAAATTTGCCTTGGTGTGGAGCTTGATAATCAAAACAAACAAGAAGTAACCAGGGTGCTTCTTGTGTTTACAATGCAACCGCTGGACACAAATTTCATTAAAATTGTTTCCATAAAATGCTGAAAGTTGAATAAAATAATAGATGTGAAGGTCAATACAGAGCCGTAACCTAGTTTGAAAGATGCAAACTTTTTCTATGAATATGCAAGAAACACCCGTTACACCTTGAAAAATGAAGAATACAGCTATACCATTCCATGTCTGAAATTATGGGCTCCTGTGGTGGAGTCTTGTTCTAAAGTTCTTGGTTTGCATTCAGGTCTTGGCATACTTTGTAAACAGCTTCCAACGGTGCATTGCCACGGCGTGATGCACATTATAGGCATGATGATCTGCAGTTCTCCAGGGGTTGATCAAGCTGAGCATTTTGATACTTTCTGTGATTCTCCCATCCCTGTTCATATAGTTGTCATCTAACAAGCAGATTACAATAGAGCAAGCCAACGATTGTCCATTTGAAATCTTACAGGCACACTTGTGAGGCCCCACAAGTGAGGGGTGAGCACAGCCATAGCTCAGTGGTAGCGTCACCCCTCAGCATTTTCAGACGATTTGGAAGGAATTCTGCCTGAAAACCTGGACTAGGCAATACTGAGCTGCGTTCAATGGGTTGGCTGGGTCCAAGGCAGCTTGCTATGTCTAGGAAGAGCAATTGTCCTGCTAATGCTACGTAAACCTGTGGAACAAATACTCCAAAATAAATTGCCTAAACGCATAATCCTACGCAAGTTTGCACGGAAAAAAGGCCTACAGTTCCCAGCACGTCCCAGCCGGCGTGGCTGCGGGGCGCTTTTGGGTTTGTTTTGCATGGCAACCTGCCTAGGCTTGTGTCTTAGAGGCAAAGTGCACGTGTCCTGTGCTCGCGTGTTCATGCTATGCTCGTGTGCACGCGCTCGGAGAGGCAGAGCGGGCGGTTAAGCGAGTGCGCACGCGCGGCGGAGCGGCTCCCGCCTGCAAAAGCGCTGCTGCAACTGGCCGACGGGGCCGCAACGACTCTGCCCTCTTTGTTCTGGGCTCGGACGTTGTGGCGGCGCCCGAGCTTCCTCTGTCCCCGCGAAGCGAGCCCTGCATTGCCGGAGCCAGGACTAGGCTGCCCCGTGCAGGGAGGATCGCTCGAAGGGAGGGGAGCCAGTCCAGTACTTAATTGACGCCCCTCGAGTTGGTAGCGTCCACGCCACGCTCATCGTCAGCGAGGTTTCGCTGGGCGAGCTCAATCCAGAAAGAGGGGGAGAGGGGAGCATGGAGGAGTTCCCTGTGCCGGAGCTAGATGGCTCTCCGCATCCCCCTCTGTCTCGCGTTCTCTCGCCCGCCTCCACCCCAATGGGCCTTGCGGCAAGAGCGCTGACATCACTTCCTGCCCCTTCCCTCCTCTTTCCTTTAGATCCTATGAGCGGGATTGGAGGGAGGGAGGCGTGAGCGGGGGTTACCGTGACAACCAGAGAGCGGGCTTCTCGCGCTTCCTCGCGAGAGCTTCCGCGTTGCTGGTCGCCTGGGCAACGGGCAACTAGCCGCGGCTCCCTGGAAGTTGAGAAGCCATGGCGGAGGTGGCAGCCCGACCGGTGAGGGAAGGGGCCCCCTTCCTGGCTCCCGCTCCGTCTCCCTTCCGCGCGGCGGGTGGGGTCTCCCGGCGTGGCCCGCTTACTCCCCGGAGGTCAAGGCGCCCCCACGGGCCCCCTCCTCAGAGAGCGTCCCCTGCGCCCCGTCAGCGGCTGGGCGCCTTCTCGCCGTGGCCACCCCTGGTGGGCCCGGGCGCGGAGGGCAGGGGCGCCGAGGCGCTGCCGCCCTTCCTCCTCACCCCGCCGCCGCCCGGGGCCAGAGCGAGGGGCCGGAGGACATCCAGGTCGCAGTGGCAACCAGGAGGAGCGTGGGGGGGGGGGCTTCATTGGTCCTTTCTTCGGGTATGGGGCCTTCGCAGGGCCCAACTGTAGCTGTGTTTTATGCTGGTCCGCCCCCCAGCTGCCCCCGGTCTGCTAGAGCTGGATGTGGCCTCCTTTGAAGGGCCTGCCCTGTTGTTTTACAGAAATGATTCGTGCGCGTGGGGAGGTGTTTTTATAAAAAGATTATTTATTTAACTGTCAAAATGTTGGGTGTATACAAAGGTAAACCATAGGCCATAACTCTCCTTGTCTTTCTCCATTTTTACTGCTGTTTTTTTCTTAAATAAATAAAGGGCAATAAAGGATGGAATAAAAGGACAATGAAATAAGGAATAGGTACAGAGTGCCCTTTGATGCCATCTGTCTAAAACTGGGGTTCAGAATCACAGGCCCAGTGTGGCCTTCCTGATACTGAATTGGGCTATTAGGTTGCACAGTTGATACTCCCCTCTGCCTGCGAACACCATTTTCTTTGTTTTCTGGCACATTTTCCCCATTGCAAAAGGCAGAAATGCCTTTCCTAAGTTTTTGTTACTGACAAAGCTTTAACCAAAACATGCTGGAATTTTGGGCCTTGAGCCCCTTTGCCTCCAGCCCCAAGCAGCATAGGAATGCAGCTCCCAAGAGCTTCTTCAAAATCAAATTTGATCCTCAGAATGGAACCCCTGCTCTAAACGCTGCCTGATGGACTGAACCCAGCGAATGGCTCAAAGTTGCCTACTGAGTTTGTGGCTGAGGGGGAATTGACCCTCTGGCTCTCTGCCTGTGTGCTACAGTGGTTGCTGGCATGAATAGAATTCCTTAAATTGCTCAAAGTGGTTCTCGCACATGATGTTGCAACCATTTTTACAGTAGCTGTATTGCAGATGGTGTGGGGAGGGCTGAGCCAGTGAGTGGCCAAGATCACCCTCTAAGCTTCCTAGCTGATCAAGCAGGATCTGAAGCGTCAGGTCAAATTGCTGCCTCGCACTGGTTTCCATAGTGCTTTCTTAAGCGTGTGCCACAATAAGCTTAAGAAGATACTATGACAGACTTCAGGGCGCATCATGCTTCCTGCCAGTTCTCCGCTTTAGCACTTTAACAAATGCTTCACGTGGCTAAGTTATTGCTAGCACTGCAGATGTCCGATCTTTGTCTTTCTTTTCATGTACTGTGCCTGCAGAGGTATTTCTTGCTTTAGCATAAGGAGGAGAATTACACAGACTGACTGACTGTCTGTCTGTCTGTCTGTCTTTCTTTGCATACAGTCCGCCAGCCATACAGCATTTATATTCCATCCATCCCCGGACAGTTTACAGCATTAAAATAAATAGAAAGAATCAGTAACAGAAAATCACAATAATACATCTGATAGAAGCATCAGTACGCCACAACAGACCCCGCAAGGCCAATAAGCACAGCCCACAGCAAACCCAGAGCAACCACAACCAGGTCAGTCTGGAGGCATCGCAACAGTATCAGATTCACATGGTGCTATCCCAGAGTTGCAATGCTTTTGACAAAGGAAATTGGTCTTGCTTCTGTTGCATGTGGAGGCTACCTGGGAATGGATGCAGCAAGATCAGCTCTAGTAATATCCCCACTAATAAACCATTGAAGGGAACTGGGAGCTCCGTGTGCTTCTTTCAGGAAAGCTTGTAGCCATACGGCTCACGTTAGCTCTCCTCTCTGAGAGGAGGATACGTGCAGCCACTTGAGGTAGCTGGGTGGATTGTTTGGCTTCACACTTACAGGTGCCGTATGCCACACTTTCCTATTAGTCTCATGGGGAGAACGACCATCGGTCTGCCCTTTGTTGCTTATTGTTTAAATATATATCCTGCTTAAATTACCAGGATAGCTTGCAATAGCATGACTAAAGGAGAGCACAAGCCAATAAAACACAACAATCTGGTGAAAACAGCAGATTTGTAAAAGCTGCATAGGAATACAAGGCACAAGTCAAGGCGGAGCAAAACAGCATCTCTTAAAAGCTGCTGAAAGTGAAAAGGGCTTCTCCCCGGGCCAGGATGACATTACGCACCAGGCAAGCCCCTCTGAGAGGAGATTCCAGGGGGCAGGGGGCCATTACTGAAGAGGCTCTGCAGGTGACAGAGGCGGTAGGACATCTTTTATGTTTGCTTTCATGTACCAAGTGTCCTGCAAGCAGAACACCAGCAGAGCAGGGAAGATGCTTCTGCTCCCAACTGTTTTCTCCTGTGTGCCCCTGTTTTCTAATTGTGGTGCGCTGCAGAGGGGAACGAGAACAGTGAAAAAATCCGATTTCTTCCATCTTGGCCTGAAATGAGAAGCGTGCAGTTTGCCACCTTGGGACTGTCACTTCACTCTACTTCAGATGTAGATGAGGCCTTCATGTGGAGAATGAACAGAAATCTTGGTGGCAGGTTTACTGATTTAAGCAGTGCTTTTTCATGGCGCTCTGTCACAGTATCGGATTTGTTGAACTGTCCTGTAGTGCTTCTTTTTAAAGGATATGACTCAATGAAACTAATTTTTTAGTGGCCACAGCTGGAGAGTTTAGTTAGAATCTGGATTTTTTGTGGGCATATCACGGGATTTTTCATAGCTGTTTTTAATAATGATTTTGGCTTGGTATGACAAATTTGATATCAGGATTACAATCAGCAAACCAATTGGCTGGCTTGTTCTGTTTGACTAAATTTGGTAGTACAGTAGGCAAATTTTGACAGCCTGATTGTGGTTTGAGTTTTACAGGCTTTAAAAATGCAGTACAGTCCTGATCTAGCACTGTTAGCTTTGTGTTCCAGGATAGTATTTACTTACCAGATTGAGAAAATTATTTTAAATATATATTTTAGGTAAACTATTCACTTAAGCTATTCTCTGTTATTTGTTGCTAATGCTAGTATTTAATAACAGCAATTCTAAAAGGCTTGAGTTTTTAACACTGTCCCTCCAGACAGAGGTGCATGAGCTGCAGTGAATCAAAGCGACCACTGGCTTGGCTAAACAGAATGTTCTTTGTTTTCAGAGTTGTGCTCCGAGCCTGAGCACTCCCCGCCCCCTGCCCCCAAAACTCACAAGTTGTTTTTTTCAGTGCATTTCTGAGTTCTTCTCCCAGTAAATGTTTTTCTCAGTTGTTAATATTTTTAAGTCAAATTGCAAACAAGCACTTTATAACTATTAAAAGATAGCAGAGCAAATAATCAGATAAAAAGCTTATAGAACCTCAACCTTTAAAAAGTCTGGACAAACAAACGAGGTCGTGCCAAAAAGGCAGTGGGTTTGGTGCCAGCCAGATTCCCTGGAGAAATATTCCAGGGGCGGGATGCCACCACTGCAAGACCTGCAGTGTGACTCATGAGCAGCGCAGCCCTGCAGGAGGGGGACCTGAAGATGGGTGTCGAAAGATCAAAATATCCCGGCAGGCTGCCAGAACTGCAAATACGAAAGCAGGCTGGCCTGCTGGGACCCGACAATGCCCAGGCACGGAAGCGGCGGCTTTTGCACCACGCTGTCTTCAGACTGGGCACGGAGAAGGGGCAGCCCTCCACTGCCAGGCAGTCCACTTGCCTGTACGCAAGCCCCTGTTGTGTGCAGACGTCCGGTGAGTTGGTGTGCAAGGCTGTCTTTGGGTCACAAGGTCCCAAGCAAGGTAGGACTTCAGAGGTTAAAATTAGCACTTTTAATTGGTCCACTGAAACATTTCACGAGTGGGAAAATGTGCTCCATAGCGTTGATCTCAGTTAGTGACCATGCAGCTGTGTTAGCTGTGTTCTCCAAACTTTCTTCAAGGACAGCCCTGCCTACATCGTATTAAAAGCTTGGTTAGATAGGGAGGATATAAATGTACTACTGCAGCTTGTTGCAGAGGGCATTGGGATGCCCTGTATGACACAATGAGCCCAGTTACGTCTTTGAAGAAAAGTGCTTGGGTCATTCTCAATAACAGGCAGTGCTGCAGTTTCTGGGACGTGGCGTGGCCTCATTCCCTCCCCTGCCCTGACTTGTCCCCTGTTAGCAGGACACAGCAATTTAAAAGGCTCTGTATTCATGTTGTGGGCACATAATGGATGATGCCTGTGAATTCACTGACGGTGATCAGGGCCCCTCTCCGTGCACTTCAAATTGCCCTGCTTCAGCCTGGTACTCGGGCTACAAGGGGACCTGTGCGAGAGCTGAAACTGATCAGCTTTCAAGCAAAGTAGAAAGAACTCCCTAGTCCGTCCTAGAGAGGTGAGATGAGCAAAACTCAAACTCATTTGAGTTTAGGATGTGCCTAGGCTCGCACTGTTAGAGGCCAACATTATGAGTGTATAGACAAGCCTAGTTTTTTGTGTTTCATTTTTGTCTAGCAGTCACTGTTAGGGCATGGGGTGCATCCTTTTGAATTCTAACACAATTTTACTGCTCTTTTGTATTATTTCAGACTGCATCTGTACTGGCCACCACAGAGCTTCCAAAGGCCCGTGCAGGAAGAGGTTTGTTTTATCTTGTACATAGATACTTATTTCATGAGTAAAGCAGGTTGTAAAACAGAATTACAGCTGAATACTCAGTTGAATTACATGATAATATAGTAGATTGGCTGCTACATTAAACCCCAGTGGCCATGTTTGGAGATAACATAAGTGTGGCTTTTTAATAAGCCCTGGTTAAGAAGCTCAAAGTGGGAGAGTTGCTTCAAGATCCAAGTTAGTAAACTGACATTAAACTACAATTTCCTCAATTAAGATAAACTGCAGACTGTGATTTAATTAAACCAGAATGTTAAAAGGGAGGAGGTGAATGTAGGCAATGTGGATGGAACACACAGTCTTGTTACCTACTCCTGGCTCTTAAGTGGTACTTTAGTAAGCAAGGAATTGGGTGTTTGAACCAGGCCAGACATTATGTGCATGGAGATGTCTTCATTTGAGTAGTTTTGCTCAGATCTAGGAGATGTCATCTAATCACATTTTTCAGGTTGCTGCCATGCACCCTGAACCCGTGTGCACGAGCTCTTAGGGGGAGCTCTATATGTTGCGTAACACGTTTGTGTAAAGGAGTAGTGAGTCATCTTCTTATCCACCATGATCTCTGACTCCCTCCAAAATTACAACCTGACTAGTAATTTCCTGTCTTACCAAACTGTATGTCCATGTCCTACGTGTGGTACTTGTTCTTAGAATTTCACTTTGTTATTTTAGTGGTGTTTTTTGAGTCCGTTTGGACACTCCCTTCACCACTTTTCTGTGGAAGTCCTTGCAATCTTTCTAAACGTTCGGTGTCCTTCCCAACTTTGAAAAGTGTGTTACCTGTTCTTTCATTCAATATAGTAAAGACCATACAGACCTCTATGGATAATCCCTTTTTGGTGGTTTTACTATGGCATGGAATTTGGTTCTTTGAATGCTGCCTATTTCACTCTGTTGTTATTATTTCACATGAGCAAAGGTGAATAGTGTCAGGCTCTTCTCAAAGCGTCATTCTGACCCTCTCGCTCCCGTAGTGTTCCCTTGTGCTTCTAAGCAGGCAGAGAAGGAGAGAACTTAAGCCCTGTTTCTGGAATTTTCCCTGTGAGTAATGCAAAGGCATCTCAGAGCTGAGAACACACTTCCACCCTGCTAGATAATTTAAACCAGATGGAGTGGAAAGCTCTAGCCTGCCTTTGTAAAAGTGTGCAGCCTAACTGGAACAATGGAGAATGGTGCAGGCAACAGACTTTATCAGCTTTGTGAGCAAATTCACAAAAGTACGACCCAGCTTGCTTTCCTATTCCTGTACTTGGCATTTGTGGCTTAGGAAGTATAAATTGACTTCTGGAAAGCTTTTGACTTTGTCTGGAGCCAGTTTTTACTTTCTTTAAGCTACGTTGAACTTCAAATAGCCACAGTATTTCAGTCAGCCCAAAGGCTATGCATATATCCTACAGCGTAGTCTCTTCATATTGAGGGTTTTTGTAACGGCACAGTTCAAACAGAAGAACTTCCAAACAAAAATACTCCAAGAAATCTTTAATTAAAATGTCCCTGCACCTCATTGCAGGAACTGAAACTGGCACTGAGACAGTATTCAGAGTATTGTTTAGTTATTTATTATATTTTATTCTGCTCCCATAGCCCTCCAGGGCTCTCTGGGCAGTATATCTCATAACTGGAACTATAAAACAGGTGAAAACTCAAGCAAGGCATTTCTGATGGGCACTAGAACACTCATTGATGAGGAGAATGGTTTGTGACTAACTTTTATCAAGGAATCTTGACCTCGGGGCTGCTATGTGGGACCTCTGTTTAAATTCCATTTCTGGCTCATTATAAAAAGCCATGTTAAGAGACCCCGGTGTTCCAGGTCTTTACACTGTTGGAAGTCACAGCAGCCCTCCCGTTTTTGAAACCCTGCATGGTTTTGAGGGAAGTGGGAGCAGGTAAACATGCTGGTTCTTGCCCTGGATTCCGTTCAGCCGCGGGCGGACTGAGTCAAGCAGTCACTCAAGGGACACAAGCTTCTTTCTACCTGTTCACAACGCCCTGGATAGTCTTGACACTTCAACCAATCCATAGACTTTCTTCAAAGAAATTAACATGATATTTGTGGTAAAAATAAATTACTGCTTTGCGATAATAGTGATTGCCAATAATAATGAATATGAGAGTAATAGGTTCCAACAACAGGGGAGGAAATGGACAGAACTGTTGGGTACTGTGAGCTGTCTCTTCTGAGGCATCTGAAATCTAACTCCAGAAACCACTTGATTTCAAAGGGAAATTATGAGCTAATTTTATCCTGTGCAAATGGTCTTGAATGTTGGGATCCGTTCTGAATTAAAGGCACTGCCAGGAGATGAATCCTCTAGAGCGTCACCTTTGCTGAACGCCAGTCACTATTCAGGGATTAATGTACTCGCAGAATTCATCTTCATTTATACCTCACAAGGAAGGGACTTTCCCTGAAAACCAGTGTTGTTGCCTCACAATCAGTAACACCCCAGTGTTGCCTCCCTGCTTCTCAGAATTGAACAGTGGTGATTGAAGGGAACTCTGGTCCTTGCAGCATGTCAGACTGCTGGGGCCTGCATAATCCTGCTGCTCCACGTTGAATGAAATGGATATTTTCTAAAACCATTTTCTGGTTCGAATTAAAGACAGCCAGCTCCAGTCTTTCCAGTGCCTGCTCCACAAGTATTTCATCCTCATGCACTCGTTCAAAAGAAACTGTTAGTATCACTCTGAGGAAGGCATTTCCCTCTCCATGTATGCTGCTCGTTAAGTGGAACATGACTCCAGTTTAGTCATTTGATTAGAAGAAGTTTCTTCTTACAAATGGCTAGTTCTAGTTGAGCGTGCCGTGCTTAATACATTTATAGATGGGGGTGGAGTGGGGGCTCCTGACTCATTTCTTCTAGCATCCAGCCTGGGCTTCTGGCCAGATTCATCACAACCTTTTTATTGTAGAGCAGCAGAATACTAAATGGAATTTGTCGTTTGGGTTCCCTCTTGTTAAAATAATTGCAGAATAGTGGAATATTGTAAATTTTCTCTGATGGACTAAGATTGAGGATAGATTGAATTTCCTGTTGGGTGAACACAAAACTGATAGATATTATTCATGAGGAGTATACTTTTGTCATGAATGCAGATACATTTCCAGTGCTGCATTTAGCAGTGCCATCCACAGCCAGTAATTTGCGCTAAATGTGATTTACATATGCCGGTTACAGCCCTCAAAGGCGCAACACTGAAATATGAATTAATATACTTCTGTTTTAGCCACCCGTATAACCACTAGTTGCTCTTGTCCATGAAGGCCAGCGCTGCAGTGGATGTGTGGGTTTGCAGGGTGTTTCTGGGCTTTTGCAGAATGATCTGGCAGAACATACATATGCTGTTTCTTAAGCAGATGTGAACTAACCCCTGTTAAAAACAAATGGAGCCTTCGGTTGGGCTGGTTGTATGATCCGGGGGTAGTTTCTGTCAGTGCCCTCTTGTAGTCTGGGTTGCAGGGTTGCTTCCTCACCCCCAGATCAGCAGCACCCCCCCCACGGTCAGTCTTGGGGGCTGAAACCTGCTCTGCTCACTGCCTCTTGGCATCCCTGCCTGCTGGGCTGGGCTGGAAACTGGTGGTGTCCCAGCATCTTTGCAGAGAAACAGGTGAGAGCCTTGCTCAAATTCTGCATGAGATCCCGGCGGGTTCAGATCGAGGTTTCTTCCTACAGGGATTGATCCCCTTTTATCACGTTCCCCTTTGAGGGAATTTTTCCAGGATTAGTCAGCTGGAAATAGTCCCCTTAGGAAGCATGACCTTGCTAAGTCCATTAGAAAGCTCTAAATGATAGAACACAGGCCAGTTTCCCCAGTGTGTAGTTGCAAAGAGACAACCTGGCTGTCGTCAAGCTGTATCCTCGTCATCTTAGGGCAGGTGGGTGCAGGCTGGATACCAGCCTGAACTGGCAACTTGTGCAAGCAGCTGTGCTGGTATCAGCCACTAAGCAAATGCATCACTAGCCAAACGACACATAATCACAAGAGAGAACCCTTTGGATTGTTTGAAGGAGTCAAGAAACGGGGTGGTGGGAACCCTGCCATACAGCCCATTTTCCACTAAGGGGAGATAGAGAGCCAGGAATGGGTGCTTTTCGTTGCGACATGCTTTTCTTACTTTTGCAGTTCCAGTCCCATTTTTTTCCTCCTCTGTGTATGGGGACTATTAATACAGGATAGCGAGATGAATTACAGCTTTGTAGCGAGCATCAAAATTGTATATGATGGGTTTTATTAAACCCAGTTGACTGTAAATAACCATGAGCCGTACAGGTTTATTGTTTGATTTAAAGTTGCTTCCAGTGGCTGCTTGCAGAAGTGAGCAGACGGGAAAGAGGCACTAAGCAATGAGGCAAGAGCTGCGGCTCGAGGAGCGGAGCCTTCGAGGCTTTGTGCGGCTTGTGCGTGCTAGGAGATGTGCCTACTTTGTGCGTGTGTTTGGAGCACGCCATGTGCAGTGCAGCCAACCACCGTGATTTGGAGAGTTCGCAATGAATCTGTGATTATTCTTGACTTCTGTAATAGTGGATCTCTGTAGTTCATAGTTAGGTTTTTTAATATAGCATCTTAAAAGATATCCTTTGCTTCTCCTGCCATGGCTGTGATCCAAACCAGAATCTCTCACAAAAGTGACCTTGTCTTGTGGCGAGGGGATTTTAAACTACTCGTCTGCAGAAAGAACATGGGTCTCCGATGGCTTGGGTGTATGTTCGAATCCTCACCTCCTCGCTGAGGGGAAATTAAGGCAGCCAGCTTTGCTCGTCAGTTGAATTCATACTGGTGCTGTGTCTTTGTGCCCAGGCTCTTCCTCTTTGCTCTCCTGCTGCTGTCCTTTCCTTAGGCTCTTGTTCCCATTAATCCCCCTGCCTTTATAATAGAGGAATTATAAGCCTCACTAACCTGGATTTTTCTAAAGTGCAACAAAACAGAAGTGGTCACAGATTAATTTCCCCCCAGTGTTGCCATCAACCAGGCAAAGCAAGAAAGATAGGCCCTGCCTTCCTCAGTAGTAGAACTGGGAAGTTCTACTACTGGCCTGGGCCTGCCATGACTAACGATTGGCGTGCTTTGTGTGTAAATTGACCCCTGACTAGGCACGCTCATTTGGTGAACTTTTCTCAGGGCCTCGGAACCGGGCTGGTGTAGATAACACTTTATTTAGATATTAGGCATTAGAAATTGTTCTGTGTCACATCTGATTTGAATAAATCCCGAAGCAGCTTACCAAAAAAAACAAGACAAAATACATAATAGTATCAGAGTAGAGGTTGCTTCAAAGATGTCTCATGACTGGGAGATGACTACCATAAAGAGAACAAATGAAGCTAAATTACTGAACATGCTTGAGAATGTTGATGAAGACTTCTTTCTTTACATGTGGGTGACCAGATTTCATGAAATTTATGGAAGCCAAGCTGAAGCAGTATTAGAAAAGAGCAGGCAACATTCTGGGCCGTGTGCTGTTGTCTCTGAGAGAGAGAGTGAGATGAAGAGAGAGAGCGCACACAAGTGTTCTTGTACGGGGAACCCCAGGACTTGTAATCTGTCAGACAGAGAGAGGTGTGCCTCCCTGCATGCCATGTTCTCTCAAGAACTACAAGTCCCAGAGTTCCTTAGTTCCTGCTGGTATTTCCTCTGCAGAGGCAGAAGGAGCCAGCAGGTTCTGGCAGCTCTAGGGAAGCAGGACCACCATGCTAATCTGGACCATTGGAATCCCTGGGATCATGGGAGCCAGCATTGCAGTTACGATTTACAGATACCAGATCAGATGTGAGTAAATGGGGCTGAGACCCACACACTTGAGGAGAATAAGAGCCATTGAACTGAGCAGGTCTTCTTCTTGGGCAGTTATGTAAGGATCGCCACTTTGAGCTGCTTTTCTGATCCCCAAATTCCATAGAGGAACTGACAGTAGATCCCAGGGAACAATGTCAAAACATATTTTAACAATGAACGTGGATATAATTAATAGAGCTGTGCATCACATTTGGGCAAATCCTGATTCCAGTACAGATTTGGACAGATTTGGAAGGTGTCTAAACTAACGTGGGGCTCAAACTGGGCAGAGTCCCAATCTGAGCACTCCACAGAATTTAGGATTCAGAAGGATGCAGTCTGTCTTCGAAATCATGTCTTCCCAAATTGTCCAGGTACTGCAGGTGTGATCCTGAATCTGGGTTGGGGCAGGTTTGACAGGGCCTTATTAAATTAGGCTACTCTGTTCAAGTGGGGCGAGCGTGAATTTCATGCTGCTTCCCACCCCAGCACCTGCCAGCTGCTGCTTCGGCCATCTTCTGCCTTTGTTTTCAGCTAGGTTTCTCTAGCCTAATACTGGCTTACAAATACTAGATATTCCTGCCAGTTGCTATGGTTACCTGTGAGTTACCATTATTTTGGCTGCAGAAATGAGTTTGATGCACTTGTAGTCGTGTTTGTATTATGTGAGCTGCAGTGTCATCTTAAAAGCATAAAGATAGTCAGGAATAGCACCCCTGCCAGAATTTACTGCTGGAAGCTCCTTACTATCAACTGTGGTGCAACCCAAGCTTGACATTCATTTTCCTGCATTTACAGCACAACCAGAGGATGAGATGTTTGTGCTGGCCCAATTCACAAGACCATATAGCAGTGACAGTCGATAAGATGCCCCAGGGAATATCCTAGAAAGAATGAAGCCTCGACCATTTCTAGGCCCAGCTCACAGTGCTGGCTCTTAACCTCTAAGCCTCGAACAGCGTAGGAAGTGGATGTTCAACGGACCTCTTCCTCCCATGCGATTTTATTGATCCATTTGGATCGGCCAAAGAGTTCTGCTTCATCAGCTGCTACTGTCAGGAGCGCATGTTGGCTGGGGATGCTGGGAGATGTAGTTCAACACACCTGGAAGGTGCCAGGCTGGGGAAGTCTGCCTAGGCTATGGTGTGGCCTGTCCCATCTGGCTCCTCCTGAGTGGCAATACTGAGCACCAGGCAAAAGCCAGTTTGTTCTGGTAAGCCTGCTCAGCTGTTGATTTCTTACTCCTTGGCTTGCAAAAACATCGTGTTTTCTGATGGTCTTGTCTCACCTTTTTCTTTGTGGTTGCTTTTCAGTGCTTTTGATAGTAACTGCCTTGGGTGATTCAGAAATAAGATAGAAAGCAGGGCTGTAAGCATTTTGGTAACCTGGCCATGCCAGTAGTAGCCATCCTCCCCATTTTTGTCCCAACATTCATATGCCCACAACAAATACTCTTTTAAAATCTCTTCCTTTGCAAAGAATGATGATTCCCCTCCTCTTTCTCTCATGCTGCCTCCTGCTTCCCTGGGGCCGGCATCACTTGCACAGTTTCTGAATATTTGCTCTGCCAACTTTTTGCACAGTGCCAGAACTTCCCATCCTGGAGAAAAGGAACTGGCTGATCCACCTGTACTACATCCGCAAAGACTATGACTTGTGTAAGGTAGGAGTGTGAGATCCCCCAGCGGTGGCCTGTCTGTATCCTTAAGCGTAGGAGTAGAGAGGAGCCCATGTTCTTGCTGTGGAGGCGGAGTTCAGTTCTTCCTGCATCTGCTTGAAATATAGCCTTTTCCAGTCTCCAAACCAATGTTTAGAAATTGGGACTCTTCCAGCAGGCCCTCCCTCCTCAGGCAAATTCCTTCCTCCATTCCTTGGCTTGCTGTAGCCGTAAGTTGTTCTTAAGCCCGAGTCAGAGCTAACTTTGGTTCATCCTAACCAAGATGATCTCCATGATTTGAACTGGATTCACTGTTCATGGGTTTGGGGCATGAATTGGGGTTTCATGATTGCTAGTTCCAGTTTGGGTAGGGCGTAGAGAATCCAGACCCAGTTGGGGAGGAGAGGGAGGGAGGAGGGCATCTACGAAGCAGTAATTTGGCGATTGGGAACTGTCTGAACGGCGCTTTAAGGTATAATCCCATGCAAGATTATAATGCCATTAAATGAAGGGGGAGACCTGCTAATATTAGAGATACCGAAGAGCCTGTGCTCTTGGATCATGTGACCTCCAGGAGAGGTCAAACCAGCCTGCAAGAGGAGCTGATCGCCAGCATGAGAAGCAGCTCTCGCAGCCCGCATTTCGTTGCTCCAAAGGAGAGCACGGGCACCTTTCCTGCGGTGCTGCAGCTTTCCTTAACGAACAGCAGCTTAGTGCTGAGGATACAATTGTTGGGCTGCGAAGCAAACTCTGTCCAAAACAGCTACTAAACACTGCCTCTTTGTTGGTCAGATTGCTATAAAAGAGCAACTTCAGGAGACCCAAGGACTGTGTGAATATGCCATTTATGTTCAAGGTAAGCTGAAAACACCCTTCCACCCCGTCTTAGGGTCAACATGCTGCAAACTTATCTGATACGTTTCTGAAGAGTTACAAGCAAGCTTTTTTGGGGTTGATACCAATACTATTGTACTAACCTCAGTAACTGCCCAAATTATTAAGATGCTTCCATAGTTTTACTGTTTTATTGCTTTAATTCTACATTGTAAGCCGTCCCGAGATGCCAAGGCATGAGGGGACAGCATATAAAAGTTTTAAATAAATAAAATAGTTCAGGAAAGCTTAATTGCTAGAAGAATAGCATATTTACATCTCTCTTGCTTCTAAGGAAATAGGGCGAGGAGTTAGGAAGTTTTACCCAGCACGATTATGGAGCTGCAGCATCAGTGAGAGAGATTAATTTGGTGTGGACAGGGCTGACCGCTGGAAGTCAGAAGAACAGAGTATTTGTATGTCTCTCCTATAAAGCGTGCTCTGAAATGTTTACTGTACTGTGAGACCATGAAGAAAGCCTCTGCTTGGTACTCACGTAGCCCAAGGAATGGTGATTACTACCGAATTCTGAAAAGCGGATTGCTTTCATTCATCCATTAGCTGCCTTCCCTACAGTCTGGCATTCAAAGTGGCATGCAATGAAGAAAGAAAACAGCAGTGCAAACATTCAGTATTTATGTATGCATGCATCACTATTATACCTTTTAATAAATGTTGGTTACTCTTTCTCTGAGGAATGTAGAACAATTTTCATATTCTTCGAGTGTTACTTAGTTTGAATTGTAGAAGTTCAACAGTCAGAAATCGTAATATGAAGTTTACCTGTAAATGGGAGAGGACTCACGTCGGAGCCAGCGTGGTGCATGGACCGGGATTTGGGACTCATCTCCCCATTGCACCATGAGGCACAGGACCAAATTACCTGTTCCACGCAGATGCATGTAGTAAAGCCGTAGTAGTATTTATAAGTAGAAAAGGGGGAGGAGAAAGGAGAGGCCCCCGACTGACATGCTTGTGATGTGGTTGCTTCCTAGCTTTGATCGATCGCTTGGAGGGGCGGATTCACGAATCGCTCGAGCTGTTCCAGACGTGTGCTATTCTGAAGCCTCGGAATGCAGACAACCTCAAGCAAGTGGCCCGATCATTGTAGGTGCCGTTCTCTTCCTCAGCTTTGAGAGGTCACGTCAGGGTGGGAGCTCCCCGAAGACTGTTTCAGTCCCCTTAGCACCTGTGTTTGCATAATCAAATGCTGCCCACTTGAGCATGCAAGAGGAGCCCAGATAAATCTGGCCAAGGCCTGTCCAGCCCAGCGGCCTCCTTGGCACCCACCAAATGTCTCGAGAAGCCCAAAACCACGGCATGGAAGCCGCAGCCCCACTTCTGCTGCTCCTCCAGCCCTCTGTCGCCTCTCCATACGGAGGCGCCAGACAGGCGTGATGGACGCGCGGTTTCCCTGTGCACCTGCCTAATTCCCGTTTAGAACCCTCTGATCTGACACCCATCAGGGCAGCACCTGCTGTGCAGCTTAGAAGCAGAGACCCTTCGAGGGCCACCCTGTGCATGAAGAGACAGCTTGCTGGGAGCTGTAGGACTTTTCCTGCTGAAACGTGCATAGGATTGCGCGGAATTGCTTAGACTCGTCTGAGTCTCAAGGGCTCAGGGTGGACAGTTAGAAATCTTACGAAGTTGTGAAGAGTTGCATTACGTAATATTCACCCTACACTTAGACCTTTTGGACCACCTTGGAGCAGGTGGTGAGACAAGCTAGGAATCCCCAGGGGATGAGGAGGGGCCCTCTTTGGGCAGGTCTCAGGTATTCTGTTTAACTTTGCATGCCAGTAAGCATCTATCAGAGCTCCCTTTGAGTCTCTGGCTGACACACCTATTTCTTGTCCTGTAATGTTTTGGGAGGAAATGCTTTGAAAAATAAGGTGCAAAATTTTGTTGTAGGTTTCTCCTGGGAAAACACAAGGCAGCCATTGAAGTGTACAATGACGCAGCTCAGCACAATCAGAAGGACTGGGTATGCACGGGGTTTTCCTTCCTGTCTGTGGAGATGGCTAGCGTTTGATACATGCAGATGGATAGTTGACCCAGGTCCCTTTTTCCTTTGTATGTGAGCAGTAACTTGCAGAGAGAAACTGAAATATGAATAGGGCTCTACACAGATGCAGACTTGTCCTTGTGAATCTGCTAATTGGGGAACATGCTTCTGCAGCCACCAAAATTGCTGCAGGCTCTGTCTGGTTACAGCCTTTCTCTATCATGATCGTGGGACACACAGTCGGACCAAGGATACGTACAGGAGAAAGCGATGCATTCATTAGCCCTTTGCCCCATCGGCAGCCTGGTTGCGTTCCAGCCACAAGCCTATTTCCTGGACTCCAGCTGTCTGATGAAGTGATGCTGGAGGAAATATACCACCTTTTTCCAAGGTAGAGCAAAATGGAAGCATCGGCTTGTGTCTCTGCCAGATGTGCACAGGGATGGCCATCTGCTTTAATATTCAGCAAGAAAACAAAACTCTCGTGGACCAAATGTCACATGCTGAGTTGTAATCTCATCATCAGCGAAAGATCACATACCAAGTCACTGCTACAGTTGCCAAAGGTACCACTGCTAAGATACAGGCTGTCTGTTTATTTGGAGCCTTTCTTATCCCCTTCTTCGGCCAAAGAGCTTTCAGAGTAGCAAAAAAGATTAAAAAGCAATACAACAATACAAATTGGGTACAATAAACATGGATTGAACACCTAGAACACGTCCGTTCCAGACCATGTGAAATTAATGAAGGGAGAGGAACTCCTCTGGAATAATCTGCTGCGGACTGCATGGTGTTTTGTTGGGTGGCGCCTGATCCTGCAGAGGGATAGGCCACCTCGCTCTCTCTTTTGACTTTTCTTTCACTCTCTCCTTCTCTCTCTCTCTCTGTCCTTTCCCACTTGCGGGCTGCTAGGGAAAGAACAGCATGCTCTCCCTAGAAGTCAGAACTGGTTGCTTGCAGAAGGCTTTTTTCAGACTGGGCTGAGGGTCACAGGTTGCCCACCCCTGATACGAACCTAGAGCTCTAAAAACGGTCAAGACCCGGGCAAATAAAGGTCCTCCCCCAGCTCCTAAAATGCATCAAAGTCAGTACTAGGTGAGCCTTCCTGGGGAGAACACTGACCTCTTGGGGTGCTGCTGCTGAAAAGACCCTACAATGTACCTTTCCTGAAAAAGCCGTGAGGGATGTGTGCGCACCTCCTCTTGCTAACAAGGATCTCCGAAAAAGGACATCTTTTTGCTCTATAATGGAGCAAAAGCCTGGTTATAACCAATGCCTGGTTATAAAACTCAGTTTCGGGGTCATCATCGTTATCTTACCTACAAGATGATGTGGCTGTTACCAGTAGCTGAGATAATGACAAATGATAGATTCCTCTTCATTCTGTGGTGTGAAATTTAGTATTGATCTGAAAGACGACCCTTTCAGATAGGAACCAGCATGTTTTATGAGTAAAGAGAGTTGAATCAGATGGAGCAAGTTGAACCACAGAAATGACAATGCAGGGAGACGGGTTCAGAATGGCCACAGCAGGTGCCTGTCTGCCCAGGTTCAGTGTTTTTGACAGAGGCACCCACAGCTTGGCTGAAAATGTCCAACTTTCTCTCGTTAATAGGTTTTCAAGGCTTGCAGCATCTGTTGAAAAAAAAGCCTCATTGTACCACTTGATAATTCAGAATTTTTTTCCACTGAAATGTTAGTTGATCATGGCTTGTTCATTTCCGCTTTTCTCGGGGAAATTGATAAGCAGTTTTGCTTGCTTTGTAGTTGCAGCATTCATTTAAGCTTCTCGGAAGACCAGTGTGCCAGCCACGGCGCAGCCGGGCTTGCTTTAGATGCTGTAAATATACGTTTGCCTTTATGACTCAGCTGGGTTTTCTGGTGTGTGGGCTCTTTAGATATTTCATACTGGCTCTGCCGATTAACTTGAAAACAATTTTCAGCACATCTCATCAGGTGTTAGCAGTAAATCTTTCCACATCTGGAACAAATACTTTCCTCAGTGGTTTGGCACAGAACAGTTATATTTTATTGTTTCATTCAGTGTGAAGAATAAAAGTGTGGTGATTATTCTCTGGAACTGATTCACTGTTGTCCAGCTAGAACTTCTGTAGAATCCTGAAAGCATCTTTACAAACTTGAACCTGAGTTGCCTTATAATTAAAAATGTCTTCTTTTTAATAAGGTGATATAGATTTTTATTGGGTTGTTTTCTGCATATGTGAACTAATACATCAACAAGACCAAGGCTAGGATTTTATGCAAAAAACCAAATGATGTTGTCAAAAGAAGAAGGCTAATATGTCTAGCTAAATGTTTGCCGGGTTTCCAGTTTCACTGTATTTCCATAGCATCTTTGGCCAGAGAAATTCCATTTAACTTTTATTATTGATTATGGAAGGTCAAGTAAATTAAAGTATTTGCAGGTTTGTAAATAGATGCAGTAGAGAAATTTAGGCTCATTAAATTACAATACAAATTAAGGCATGTTGTATTCTGGATGGGAGTGATGGTTATCAGTCTGAGAAAATGGGAGTGGCCATTCGGTGGTGGAATCTTTTTGTAGATTGCATCATCCCTGCTGTTCAAGGGTACTGATTCTGTCCTTTGCAGTTTGGTTTTGTGGCACACGGTGAGTCTGGAACCAGTATTTTATTACACTGAGTTTTATGATTTTAACTCCTCATGTATTGTCTGGGATTTAAGCATGTCCCCGTTTCTTTCACACCTAGGAGATTTGCCACAACTTGGGTGCCTGCTACATGCAGCTGAAGTATTTCAACAAGGTAAATGTGGGAAGTTTTCTGGGAGGCATTGCAAGTGGCTTTGTCGCATGTAGCAGAATTCTTAGCAGGTCCCCAACCTTCATGGGGCCATAAATCCAAACAGTGTGCTGTGAGTTTTGTATATAGCAAATTACTTGCATGGAAGGCAACTTCATAAAAGGAGGATTTGGGGTTTATTTTTAGAAGTATTTAGAAGGATTACTTCCATGCTGGACAGATTCAGCCTTATTTTCCAATGCTTTGAACTGCAGGGATATTTTTTCCCTAAAACAACCCCTACCATTATAAGAAGTTATACACAACTGATGTTTTCCTCACATAGGCCTTCCTGTGCAATCCTTTGCATGCTTAGACAGAAAAGTCCTACCATTCCAGGCAGTCAAACTTTACTCCTATTTAACCATGTCTAGGATTGTAGACTTTAGTATATACAAATGGTTCTGTTTAGTAGCATTTGAGTCTTGAGTTGTAGAAGCCAGACTTTTAACAAAGAAGACTGAAATATTAAGGAAGGGAGAAGGAATGAAGTGTGTGGGGTCGGGAACAGGGATTTAAAAATAAATGGAGAGGGGCTGGGATTAGCAGACAAGCAATTATGTACCTGTCCACTGGAATCCCCAGCTCAGCTTCCTGTAGTTGGTGAACATTGGGCAGAAACAGCCCAGAGTGCTAATAGCGCTGCAGATGTGGGTCCTGTTAACTTGCTGTTTTGAAAATGATCTCAGAGTGGAATTTTCTTTATGTGATGCCATATCTGTGCCCCATGTTGGACCTGGTGAAGGACAGAAGCATGTTCCCCCGGATGTGCCCATACATGGGTTTAGGAAGGACGTGCTTCTGTGACCCTGGAAGACAAGACTGTGCTGGTGCCTGTTTACATTTCTGTAAAAGATGATTTAAAAAAAAAGAAGCTGTTTTTAACCTCAGGGCTCCATGTTGTCTAATTTGTGCATGGAGACTATTTTTCCTTTTTTATGTTGTCTGAACCCAGCTGTGCTAGCATACCTTGGTCTGGTAACCATGAACAATCCCCATCTATGCGTCCCCTTCATAGATGGTTGTTGGGTTTTGAACTGTGACTTGTTAACAAAGCATGGTTTATTAGTGTGCCTGGGTTCAGATGACATGATAACCCATGTTTCAGTGACAACCCACTGTTCCACAACAACCCACATTCAACACATTCTCAGCTCTTAAGTATGATCAGTCGGATTGTCTGAACTCAGCTGATCTCTGGGTTGCAGCACTGGCTCCCGCTTCCCTGTCCTTGGGATTTACAGCATTTTAAGAGGAAGGAAGCCGGTGGTTGTGGGAAGCATCTGGCACAGGAATGCCAGCTCTTCTCATGATTCTGCAGCCTTCGGGTTGGAGCTGGCCACACTTCCTCCCATGGAAGCATGAGCAGGGAGCTTCCACCCAAGGCTTGCAAGCCATGCCGGGGCCTGCTGCGTTTTGGGAGCATGCGTGCTTGCATGGGGGATCTTTGATTTTAGTTGGAAGGTTTGCCCGGCGTCTTCATGCGCTATTCGCATGAGAAATTCCCTCTCCTCCTCCGCCACGCCACTGCGTGCATCCCTTGCATGGAGTCACATGGGCCTAGAAAATACAATGACGCCTGTAGAGCGTGCCAGCATTTTCACTTCTGAGTAATGAATATCCCATGCTGCCCAATTTGTTGACTTTGTCAGCATCTCCCTCTCCCCTAATGTGGCGGGGGTGGGGGGGACTCTGCAACCTCTCCTTCTTGTCCTGCCAGCTGAGCCCTGAGGAGGAAAAGCGGTTATTGTAATCGATGCCTCTCGTTGAAGGGGATTAACAGTGTGCCCAGGAGGACCTGCTCTGTGCTTTTGAGCCATTCAGCAGCCCTCAAGCCACAGTGCTTGAAAAGCATTTTGTGGAAAGATGAGCTGTAAAAGCCTCGGCCGCATCCCGCCCTGCCGCCCGCCCTGCCGCTTGGTCTTCACAAAAGGGCAGATTCTGCTATTCCGAAACACCCCCAGGTGGGCAAGAGGATGGAGCAAAGCAAATCAAGCTCCGGTTCCCTTGGCCAGCCTAGGTGGGGCCTGCAATCAGGGAGGGAGGGAGGTGAAAAGGGGCCGCTTCTCTTAGGGCTGTACTTTGGAAATGGCCAGGGCAGGAAGGACAGAAGGGAAGCTCTATTTACAAATTACGTTTCAGTGGAAGAAAAGAGAAAAAACTAATCCCCAAGGCAGAGGGCTTGGAAACAGAAAGTTCATCCTGGAAAGTTCTGTCTAGCAAAAAGCTATGCAAACTACACACGGGTGTTTTGAAAAGAAAAAAAAGAGAAACGTCTCACTTCTAATGCTCGTCTACTGGAAATGTGCCAGAGGAGCGTGGGAGGAGGCGAGGTGGGGGTCTCCTTTCGCTCCCATCGTGCGAACCGATTCTGGGCTCGCTCGCTTGGATGCGACATGCCCGGCTTTATCCGGCTGTCCTCTGTGCTGTGTGCTCAGGCCAAGGACCAGCTGAACAACGCGCTGCAGCTCAGCCGACACGACCTGACGTACATGATGCTGGGGAAGATCCACCTGCTGGAAGGGCAAAAGGAGCAGGCCATCGACGTCTACAAGAAAGCCGTGGAGTAAGCCCCCCCCCCCCGGCACGTGGGCGGAGACGGGAGGCCACCTGCCGGGTGCAGCGGCTGAAGCCATGGCACGGAGCTGGGGAGCTGGGCTGGGCGCCGCGCTGGGCCTGGCGCCAGACCGGGGTGGGCAGCGTGTGGCCGTCCGAGGTGCTGCCGGAGGGGCAGCTGCCCGCGTCCCTCACCGCTGGCCGGAGCGGACGGACGGCAGGCGCATTCCCTGGCATGAAACGTGGGATGGCGAAACCCCACGCTTCCTCTGCGAGGTCCAGGCTGCGCCTTCCATCAGCCTGGAGGCGGGCTGCCCCAGGTGGCAGACTGGGGGTCCCGTCGAAGGACTGCAGCTTGCAAACGTATTTTTATCACCCTGGTGGGGGCATTTCTGTTTTCTGTCTTGAGGCCAAAATGGCTTGGGGCCACCTCTTCCCTTGCTTAACAATGGAGGCGGCTCTGTATTAATGATGGCACCAGATGTCTTCAAACTCTCAGGTCATTTTTTTATATATATTTCAGGTTCTCTCCAGAAAACACAGAGCTCCTTACAACTCTGGGCCTGCTCTACCTGGAGGTATGCGGGGGTCGTTAATTGGATAATTGTTTAATGTAGTTGGGCAGCCTTGTATAGTGTTCATTTTCAAGCATCCCTGTATTAGGTATTTTTCTCAGGTCACACTGGCAAAATGGAACGGTCCCTTTTATATAACCTTTTTAGGTCCCCAGAGGAAGTAACCTGATCCTGTACAGTTGTGCCAGAGCAAAAATGCCGACAGGGCCTGCTTCTGTTACTGCCTGTTCCGAGTTGAATAAAGCTGGTCTTTCATGAATTTTCAGAAACACTGACTTGAAAGTTTTGAATCCCGATCCTGGCCAGTTGGGAGTCTGGTCTTTCAAAGGAAGCAAGTACTTAGGTTGTCCCTGCGAGCACACCCTTCTCCCAGATTAGCACGTGCCATTGCTTTGGGATAGACGCATTTGTGACACGAGGAAGCTCAGAGGCTTCGGGACTGCCCTGGGGACTGAGATGCTCACTGAATGCGGCCGGTGGAGCATCACACCTACCCCTGTGTGGAGGCTGCCCTTAAATCCGATGCATGCCTGGTGGAGCATGTGGTGAACCGTTCCCAGGCTGGGGGGCAGCCTGCCAGCAGCAGCCAGGGCCAAAGCCCAGAGCTAGCAGGGCCGAGGCAGCATGCTGGGCCGTGCCTTCTTTCTCCCCGCTGCGAAGGGGGACCCAAGGGGAGGGGGCACGGAGAGGAAGCCCAGCATGCTGTCCACAGGCGAACAGATCGGTCAGGTGGCAAGGGAGCCGCCATTCCTTTGCCAGGAGCTTCGGGAATGCCCCGAGAGTATTCAGTCTAGAGAATAACTTTCCAGGAAGGAGTGGCAGCTTGAACTTCTGAGACTGAGGACCCGTGTGGGGCTGGCTGTCCCTGGGGTGGCCTTTCTCTGGGAACCGCTCCGTCACATGCGGTGGCGTCGGTGGCATGACCAGCCGTGGTCAGTGTGTTGCTCGTCCTTTTCTCTCCACAAGTCCTTAACTGTGTCCGTTGCTTTCGTTTAGCTTGAAATTTATCAGAAGGCCTTTGAGCACCTGGGGAATGCTCTCACGTACGACCCCAGCAACTACAAGGTATGACTAGGCCTCATAGGTACTGCATGAATGGGGGTGTGCGTGAATATAGTACATTGATGCTGGAAGGTTTTTTAAAACTGCTAACTCAGGTGTGCAGAATGCGTGTGCCGCCAAACAGTAAGCCAACAAGGTCACCTGTTCAAGCGGGCCAGGGAGCGGTGGAACAGTAGGAGCTACCTGGATCAGGACTGGCCAGTATCCAGCCCATGCAGACCCAGTTGCTGTCCCCGCTTCGCCGTCAATATATTCCATTTTAGGGGCACTGAAAGGGCCAAACTTATGGATTTAACTCTGTGACTCGTGGTGTGTATTGCTGCCCAGAGTTCCTTATCTCTCTGAGGCACCAGATGCGGCATGGTGCCTTTGGAGTGCAGCCTCCCAGGGCTGGGGGCGTGTCCAGGGGCAACAGCAGCCTTCCAGAGTTATCTGCTCCTGACACGCATCGTCCGGACCATGTTCCCAGCCGAGGTCCTCCAGAGACTCTGACCGTGCTCCCCCTCATCCCCACCCAGCACAACCGTGGACCAAGAGTCTCTTTTCCAGTGCTTGGCCCTCCACGGTCACAAGCTTTCAGGTGCCTCCAGCTTGCGGACGTACTCCTCCTCCTCCTCCTCCTCCTCCTCCTCCTCAGCAAAATGCTCTCTTTACTGACTCCTGTTGGTGAAGAGCCAGCTAGTTACTTGGCTGCTCTGTCTGTTTTCAAGGCCATCTTGGCGGCCGGCAGTATGATGCAGACGCATGGCGATTTTGATGTCGCCCTCACGAAATACCGAGTGGTCGCTTGCGCTGTTCCCGAGAGCCCCCCGCTCTGGAACAACATTGGGATGTGCTTCTTTGGAAAGAAGAAGTATGTGGCGGTAGGTGCCCCGTCCCCTTCCTCCTCCTCCTCAGTAGGACCAGGAGCCTTTGCCTCTGCGTTGGGGTGCTGCCAGCCTCTTCCCCTGCCCCGGCTCCTTTTACTGGTGCGCAGAGAGAGCCCTGAATTGGGCGGGCGGGCGGGCGGGCAGGCGTTTCTCTCCTTCGCACTGCTGCATGCAGAAGGGAAGGCGCAGCGGAGCCCCTCCTGGCTTCCCTTTCCCCTTTATGCACCCCGGCAAAATGCCCCGGGCTTCTCTTGAGTTTTCTCTTGAGTTTTATTTATTGGTGTTGGAGAAGAGACTGCAGGGAAAGCCGTCTCCTATTTCTCTGCACCCCAGTGAGACCTGAACTCCAGAGTGGGGGTTTGTACTGCTGCGCATCCTTCAAACACCTGATCAAGCATCAGGTGATCTGGACCACCGAGCGAGTGCTGCGATTTGCTTTCAGTCTTGTGGCTTGCTTTGTTCGTGCGCGGCCGTTTTTAAAGGCTGTTCATGGTTTCTCATGAATAGGGAGCTGTGCTTTTTTTCTCCAAGCAAATGCGTTAGTTGGTTTTTAACAGATATTTCATCCTTCTGAACTATTCAGCTGCATTCTACACTTTACTGGTTCTACTAGATCTCAAGTCAGGAGTTGGCAACTTGGGGCTCTCTAGAAGTTTCGCCCTTCAGCTCCCGTCAGCCTGAGCCTGCACAGCCAATGATAAGCAATCAAGATCAAAAATCTGGAGGACCACACGTTGTCCGCCCCTGCCTTAATTACTAATCTATTGGTTTTATTTAAAATGTTATATCAAACCCTCTGGCCCTCTAAGCACAAAGATGTTCACTGGGCTTCCATTTATCAGTGAGCAGATTAATGTCATTATGTTGAGTTCACTTAGCAAAGCTCCTTTTTGAAAGAAGCATTGTTCTTTGGAAGGGGCAACAAAATGACCCCGTTGGCTTCTGCCTTTGCCTTTTCTTTTACTCAAGAGAATTGATTTCCTCCGTTAGGCCATCAGCTGCCTGAAACGAGCAAACTACCTCGCACCCTTTGACTGGAAGATTCTGTACAACCTAGGACTGGTCCATCTAACGATGCAGCAGTACGCCTCTGCCTTCCACTTTGTCAGCGCAGCGATCCATCTCCAGCCAAAGCTGGCGGACCTCTACATGTTGCTGGCAGGTAGCACCGCCACGCATGCCCACCACCCCTGCCTGGTCACTGCAGTGAAGCTTCTTCTAGCATCGGCATTCAAGAATCGCTCCCTTCTTGAAACAAAGAGCACCAATTAATGTATCGTTTCAAGCATTTACAGTGCTTGACATTAATGATCTCATTACCGATGGCATTATCGCCACTTTACAGATTGGAAACTTGAGTCAAGCGGTGGCCCAAAGCCCCCTCATACGCATCCAACATTCAGTTTATGGCCTGAAATCAAATCCAGTGACCAAATGCCAGAACTGTTATGAGGGGGATGAAGGTTTCAGATCACTGACTAGCGGGGTGCTTGAATGTTTGAGGCAAACTTTTGCTGAGTGAGATGGTCATTGGCTCTTTTAGACCAGTGCATTCTACTCCGATTGGCAGGGGCTCTCCAGTGTGTCAGATTAGAGGTCTTTCCCATCTCCCAGAAGTACTTTGCTGGAAATGGTGGGGATTGAGCCTTCGCGTGCAGGTCTTTCTCCACCTGCTGCTCTCCCTGTCATGTTCCCTGCCTGGGATTGGGACCCCTTTCTCAAGCAGCCCTGTTTGTTCCCTAGGATAACTCCTCAATGTGCTGCAGGGCTTTCCTATGAATATGAGCTGTGTGGCAGGACTCTGCCTTAAACTCGACTTCGGCATTAGAGCCATGAGAAGGAGACAAGTCATTCACTCTAAGTTTTGTTCTGCCTCCCCCCCACCCCCGTAGCAATATGACCAAAGCCCAAAATCAAATCAGTATTCCTTCGCACTGCCAATTTATGGAATGCGCTCCCCAGAGAGGTCCGCCCGACGCCATCGTTACTTGTTTTTCGGCGCCAGGTGAAGACCTTTTTATTCAAACGTTATTTTAATTGTTAATACTATTTATTTATTTTATTCTTTGGCCAGGGCAACTTAAATTATACTGTTTTATATTGTGTTTGCTTATTTATGATTGTGAGCCGCCCCGAGGCTTCGGCAAATGGGGCAGCATAGAAGTTCTCTAAATAAATAAATAAAAAACATGCTTTTTTTTACACAGTTGCATTGACAAACCTCGAAGATGCTGAGAACTCCAAGCTGGCCTATCAGAAAGCTTCGGCACTGGACACGTAAGGGTTTTGCTTACTGGGAGCAGCCTTGCTTTTGAGTGTGCTTTCTCTGCACCAGCCGCCAGGCGGAGGCACACAGCGCCCTCCTCCAGGAGGCCGAGCCTGGCGGGACCGGTGGGATTTCTTGCTCGATAGGCCACAGGAGGCAGCTGCAGCTTTCTCCACTCGCGCCAGCTTCCGTGTCCAGCCCTCGCGCTTGCGAGCTGCTGAGCGGGGGGACTCCCGGGTGTGGCCTGCGCCCAGCACTCGACCCGGTGCTTGTTCTCCTGCAGAAACACGCTCTAGTTCTTCCCTGCCCTGGTTTTGGAGAGGAAACGGAAGATCGAATTCTATTCAAAGCCCCAAGCAGAGTTTCAGTTCTGCTTTATGCAGCTTCTTTCTGAGCCCTCTTCATCTGCTTATTGCTGAGTCCTCATCGTGTTGTTGCTCGTCTAATTAATACAATGTATTTTTAAAGGAAATGATTTTTGTAGCATCGCTTACACTGCATATTATTGCTCTAATTCCAGAATCGGTGGGCTTGGTCTTGCAAGGGCCGAACTGAGGCCCAAGCGGCCTCCCCGTCTTGCCTGCACTGCATGGCGCTAGTGGGCTTCTGTTGTGCTCACCTCCCTTTGACCAAGGTGCCAGTTTTCTCACCTTTCCACCCACTTTCTCTCCCTCCTGGGCTACAGGTGCAACCCTCTGATAAGCCTGAATTACGTGATTCTGTTGTACAACCAGGGGGACCACAAGGGGGCTGCTCTTCAGTACTGCGAGATGAAACGGAAGGCCCAGGCATTGGCGGACAGCACTTTGGAGTTTGATCCGGAGGTATGCTGGCTCCAGCCCCTGGCAGAAGTTGCCACATCCTGCAGCCAGGCACCTTGGCATGTGCCGCGGGGTGCAGTGGGCTCAGCCAGGAGTGCTGCTCTGTGCGCAGAAGCGAAGCAGCCCTGAACTTGTTCCTGCCGCTGCAACAGCCTTCCCAGCTTATGGCAGCATGGCTGGGACGCCTCCCGGAGCAGAGCCCGCCTGTTGCTGTGGGATGCTCAAAGGGCTGCTCCAGCTGAACAGCATGGGCAGAACGGTGCATTATCAGGCACGTCATCTACTGTGTACGTCACGAACAGGAAGGTACCCCGGCTTGGTCTTCCCAGAGCAGAGCTGAGCGCAGAGATGTGTTGTAGGACGTGTCCATTTACCGTTCCTCCCGCTCCCGCTCTCTCGTAGATGGTGGATGTGGCGCAGAAATTGGGTGCCGCCTTGCAGCTCGGAGAGGCGGCCGTCTGGACTCGGCCCGCGAAGGACGCCAGGTCAAAGCAGCGAGGGACCAGATCGTCCGCCGCTCAGCCGCTGGGCTCCAACCAGGCCCTAGGGCAGGCCATGTCCTCCGCCGCTGGCTACGCAAGGACCATGATGGCAGGTACGGCTCTCCACACCCAGTCTGCATAAGCAGCCTGGTCTCGCTGGAGCTTTAGACACCGATCCCGACAACCTGGAAATGTGGCTTAAGTCATCGCTTGACAGCCGCACTCTCGTAGCATAGAACCAGAGAGTTGCCCACTGCTGCACTCGCCTGGGTTGAATGGGTGGGTGGGCTTCGCAGTAGTTGGCTTTTCAGTGGCTCGCTCCTGCATGCCTCCTCTTAATCTGAGGGAACATTCTGGGACGGGTGCGTGGTAACCCTGCACTGCCAGCGTATCACGTGTGAAGGAAGATTTGAGGTCCCAAATGCCTTGCAGAGGCACACAAAGCACAGAACACGTCTGCTGAAGAAATCTGGAGTCCAGAAGCGAGGGAAGTTCATACACTCTTATTTTATTACATCTCATTTATATGCCATCTGTTTTCTTCGTGGTTCCTCTCGCCCCTAATGGTGGCATCCAACAGGAACAAGGAAAAGGAGCCAGAAAGAACTGCCCACTGATTTGTGAAAGACCCCACAGTCTCTCCTAAAGGATTTTGCAAAAGCAGACCCTGCTACACATAACTCTGAGCACTGTTAAGGAATTTGTTCCGGTTGACCCTTCTTCCTAAGGAAAAACCCTCAGTGGTTTATTCTCTGAAGGATTCTAGGAGTACCATGACTGGAGGGCATATGCCACTTGCTTGGAAGTTCATGAAGGTTGCCACAGTATTCACATGTCCCTTGCTATGTGTTTTGGCCCAGCTGGGCTATGAGGAGGCCTGCAGTGAAACACTCATGGAATTGGGCCTAGGTGCACACTGAGCAGTATGAAAACGTTGCAGGCCTTGAGTAAGGCGCAACATGAGGCTTGTATTTGACGCTGATAACTAGGGCTGTGCTGGTGACCACAACAGCCGCAAGACTGCTTCCAAAGTTCCCTCGATCCTCTGGAGGTGCCAGAGCTTGAGTCTTTGGTACAGGGGCAGGATCATAAAGAGAGAGAAATGCCAGACAATAGGACATCAAAAGGAAATGAAACAAAGCAGAGAACATGAGCAGAAACAGCATGAGAAAATGTAAGCAAGATATGTTATTAATCAGAAGGAAATGGAAACAGAAACTTTAAAGGGTTTAGGGAATAATAACTACTCATGGAAGAATCTCCCAAACTAGAAGTTGAGAGGAGAGGAGAGAGAATTAAACAGTTGGAATGTTTGAAATAGAGAACAATCCACTAAACTTTGAAGGATCCCGTTATACCGAATTAGAACCACAGAAACAGCTGTATATCCTTGGGATCAGTGGCAAACTATTTTAACCAGTTACATTTTAGCAAGTTTAATAGTATAATCTTTCATAGTTGAAAAGAAAGCACTGTAAAGTCCCTACTCTGCAGCTCTGGGGATGAAGCTGTTCCATATGGTTCAAAGAGCAGGGCAGGACAGGACATTATTACTAGATTTATGATCACCTTCCTTCCTTCTCCAGGTGCGGGAAGTTCAACTCAGCTGGCAAAATGCCCCTCCCTCCCTCTGGAGCCCAGGTCCGAGTCTGCTCCTGAGGAAGCATCATCCACTGCAGAGGGCCGGGAGCAAAATAGCAGAAGTCAGTCCACAGAAACTGGCAAAGAATCTTGAACAGATGCCTGACTTGGACAGTCTGGGGAGCTGCAGAGCTCTCGCCCTGCTAGAGGCATAGAGCCAGTGTCAAATGGACATTTAGAATTCCACAAACCTTGCTCTATTGGAAGTCATATGCCTATCCTATTTCCTTGAGCTAAAAGGATGTTTGGGAATTGAATTTTATCTGTTTTCCTCAACACTCCACCTGCAGGCAAGTTAAAGATCCGATCAAGATAGAAGCAAGATTTGGGAGAAGTCTTCTTTGGAGGAAAATAGCCCTTGGCAGCAGAAAAATAAGCGGATGAATAAACATCACAGTCCCTTTTGGGAAAACTACCAGCTTGGTGCCAAGGTCTCCATCTTCTGGCTTTGATGTTCCTTCTCATGGCAGAACGGTACCACCAGCCAACTCTTACGGGAACAGAGGCACCTGTGCTGCACGCCTCAGTCCCGCCTTGTTGAGGGTCAGCAGTTCTGGATTAGACGCAGCTGCAGACGCCCTCACACTGGTCTTGTGTTGCCTGCCTCCTCTCTGGGTCCTAGCGACAGCGGCCTGGATGGCCACTGCAAATGGCCTTCTTTCATTGGCCGGTAGAATTTGCTATGGCAGACCATTTGGCGTAAGACACATACTTTGTTTATAGGGAAGCTTAAAAAAAGATGTAATAAATCGAACAAATTTCCTTTATTATACTCATGCTACTTTAATGGATTCTTTTATGCTATGAATTTCTGAGTGTAAGTGATGATCCACAGCTGTCTGAAAATATAAAAGGACAATTCTCTCTTGCAGAAGAAGTAAAACAGCAGTGCTGCCCAGCAAATGACCGGATTAGAATCTCTGCAGAAGAAATGGCGGCTTAAGTGGCATGGGGTTAGCTTTATCATGCATAATGGGAGAGCCTCTGCAGCAGAGAAGGTTGCAAAAGCCCCACAGGCCCCCTGGAGCTGCCGTGGCTTTCCCGCTGGCATCCGGAGCCGATGGGACGCTGCACCAGAGGCTTTGCAAAGGCTACAGCTGATGCACCCGGGTGCAAATAGTGAGCCTGTTTTGTGAGCTATTATTCCCCCAACCTCTTAATTGTGGCCTTTCATTATGTGAAAGCTGAACAGCCAGGACCGCTCTGCAATACCAAGAGCTGAATGTGATGGTTGTTGGTGAATAATTACAAAAAAGGACACATCTGTAACAAATGCAATACATTTGGTGGAAACCGCATCCATAGTACAGAATCCTGGTAAAACATGTACATCCTTCTGAGACACTGCACACCACCCAAAATACTTGTTTCATGGGAATTATACAGCCAGAACTATTTGGTCAGCGAGACGCGTGAAAAACATTGCTTCAAGGACGCCCCTGAGTTTTTGCAAACTCCGTCCAGTCTACCCCTGCTATTTATTACATGAGAACCGAAAGCTTCTTTCCTGTCACAAGTGACTTCCACAACCACAGCACCTTAACTGACACCCAGATGCCGTGTGCTAAATATATGTTTTGTCTAAATAAACTGAGCAGTATAAAGCCTCAAATCCCTGAAATTTTTGCTGGGCCATAGAGCCACAGCAACCTGACAGTTTAAGAAAGAAAATGCACAATTTGTAGGACCAAAGCATTCTCCTTAGCTGCTACTTTCAAAGTATGGAAAAAATAGAAAGCTTTCTCTTTTTTTCAGCAAAAAAAACCTTCCCCTAATAGCCATTCAGTGTTTCAGACAGGGTAGACGCTCCTACTTCTGCGTTTTGCTTCCCAAATTGGCCTCCCAGGGCACTGAGAGCCCCAAGAGAGATGCAGCCTACAGCCACACGCTAAATTCCATGAAGCCGTTTCCATGAGATCCTAGGTCAAGGTGACATGCACATGGTGGGCATGTCGTGAGCGGAGCCGGCTGGTGCTGGAGGTCAGACTAGATGGCCCGGGAGGTCCCTTCTGACTCGCTCTGTTTCTATGTTTCTATCATACAAAGGGCAGCAAGGCCACACACAAAAGGCAGGCTTATTTGCACAAGTGAAACTTTCTGTCCCTACTTAATGTATGGGATACATACAGATTCAAGTAGGACAGTGAAGAGTGAAATAAGGTACGGAGCCAAGACAAATGTACCGAGCACCACTGTTGGGTAATTTCCACCTAATTGCTACAGTTATGGAATGAATACAAGTTGCATAACACTGCTTTGTGCAATGCACCCAAAGAAGCAAACCTATTAGAATAAACCTGCACATTTAGTTTTCATTTCTCCTATCAAAGGAACAAATGCAAGATACTAATTTAAATTTTACACCTTAGGATTACTAGTGTATTGATTTTGCTGTCTTTGTGCTCACTGTTCCAAGATGTCTAATCTCAGAAGCCCTTTGCAGCAGTGTTGAGAACATGATTATATGCTACAGTAAAGCTTCCAATTATTCTTAAATGTTCAGCCAAGCAAAGCTCAGCCACGACCCTGGATTTTGCAGTAACAAAGCACTCTTTGCCCTTCTGAGCCCTTTTCTGGAACTGCTGGTCACACATACAAAAGCAACCACCTCCTTGTAGATTTGTTAGTTTGCTAAGAGTGTCGCACGCCGATGCTCAGTATTTGGACCCAGGAGGGTCCAAATTCAAGCTGTAAACAGGCAAGACTGGCCCCTCGACAGTGACGGCAGGACAGCCAAGCGAGAACAAGTGGGGCTCGTGTGGCCGGGAAGCTTTCTGCACCCAAGTGTCAAAAAGAATCTGAATAACCAGCAGCAGAACTCATTGCTTGGTAGCTGTACAGCAGCAGCAGTTCCACAGAGCTGGACTACCGGGAACTTTCTTTGGCAGGTCAGGGCCTTGATCCATCTGCTCAGTGTGGCCTGTTCAACCTGGAAGCCGCTCCCAACCTTGCCAGGCTGACGTTGCCATCGCTACTGCCCGTTCCACTGTAACGGCAGATGCCAGATGAAACACAGGCGATCCTGCATGCCAAGCGTATGCTCTGTCACCGAGGGAAAGCACTGAACCGTCCTCCCACCCACCAGTCCCTCAACCACCATGTTTCCCTTAATTGGGACACGGGTCAGAAATAAGTCTGCCTAACAGAAAAATTTGCGGGGGGACGGGAAGAGCGCCGTGAAAGGGCTGAGACGGCGCCTTTCCCTACTGCTGCTCCACCGTGCAGCTCTCAGCCGTGACTCTTCACACGGTGCTGCTGCGCTTCCTGCCAAGGTGGCCAGGAAGGAACGTTCTCGAAACATCTCTCCACTATCTTCCCCGACCTGTTCCCATCACAAGCTAATGGTATGCCAAGGAATTTTAGTCCCGACTTTTGTTGCATTTCTAACTTGCTTTTCCTACCTGGGGCTCAGAGCTGTTTTCAGACTGATGACAAGCCTATTGGCTAGGCTGGGGTGCGAGAGCAACTTGCTCAAGGTCATCTAATGAGAAACACGCCCGGTCTGGATTTCCTGTTCTGGCCCACACTCTGCCTTTCGTGAAGGCACCACCACCAGATGTCCAGATTCAGCTGCTGCATCATTCTGTCTGCTGGGAAATACTATGAGGAGAGGAGAGGAGAGGAGTGCAGGATTCAGGTTTGTATACATGAGAGCTCAAGACAGTTTCCTACTGCGGTCATGTAATCCCAGCTTGCCAGAACTGGGTGCTAACACAGCAGTCCGGGAAGAGCAGGCAGTGCCAATTCGCCTAAGTCTACCCCACAACCGAAAAGCCGAGGAGTCATCTGAGGTTTGTGCATTACTTTGGCATTTGTTCAGATTCACTGCTGCTTGCCTCGCGTTACGCTAGCAGGGAGCGGCAGTCGTACTGTAAACATTCACTTCTGATAATAATGACCTTCAGGACACTGCCTTAAGTACAACTGCATTAGCTTGCAAGGAATAAAAGAAATTAAGCTTTGCACCTGAAGAGTCACCTTATCAACAGAAGAAAAGCATATACCTCTGATAGCAGTGGGAGTAAAACCAAGGGTCAGCGTTAGCACAAATCATGGCGTTCATCTGATAAAACGCCAATTTCCCCACAGTATCTTGCCATTTCATGGGACTTGCTGAGTACAATTCAGCATGTTTTTCAGCGTGCTGGAAAACAACTAACGATGAGGCCATCTTGCCCACCTCGCTTTTAGAACTGGCCAAACAGAGGTTTGTACTATTCTAGGAGAATGTTCCCTTTGACTGCTGAAGCCGAACGGTAACATTTTGTTGACACCACTACCCAATAGGTAGAAGGTGGGCTCTTGCCGAATGGGGAATGTGAGGAAAAGGACAACGAGTAACTTTTGCTTTAGTCTTCAGAGAAGCGTGACAGTGTGGCGAACCAACATATCCTTCGTGGGATATTTAGGAATGACTGTCCCTGTTTCAGTACCCAGTTTCTGAAGTTGCTACAAATAAGTCTGGCTTATGTAAACCAACAATGGCTTTGGCTCTGTGTGTCACTTTTGAGCAATATGTGGCCCCTGTGTTTGACATGTTGAATCTCATCAGCAAATCCTTTGTGTCCCCATGGCAAATCCCAGCAGCTAGACCTCCTGGCTCTTTGGTTCTCATGCTGGGTGCTTAATTTCAAGCCCATGCCTGCATGGCTCAGGTTTTTGTGGAGAAACAGTATCTTACTTCCAAAGGCTAGTGAGGGTAAACTTCTGAATACAGGAGTCCTTCAGCAGAAATGGCATCACCGAGGCCAACGGTCCGCAGCGGATCTTTGCACACTAGAACAGGAGTATAGTGGAACGTGATCCCCTCCCTGTGCCATTCCGACACCGGCTCACTGGGATTCAGAGAGACTCTGGAGGCCGCCTCCATCTTGGAAGTGGCAAACTCCAGCGGGGCTTTCAGGTAGACTCTGCTGACATCGATGGTTTTCGTGGCACAGGCCTGCATCCCCGCCACTCTTGCCCCAGCAGCAACCGCTGCCACCTGGTTGGCCCAGTGTCCGTCCACAGTAGCCAGGACGTGGTAGGCCAAGGTGTGGAAGTGGATTCGTGTGAGCTCCGATTGCTTTCTTGGGGTCCTTCCGTGTTCCCTCAGGATCCAGAAGAGGATGTCGCTGACGATACCCACGTCGGGGACACCGTTCCAGGAAGCCAGCGAGGCGTGTGGTCCGGAAGCCGCCTGGGTGAGGAAGAGCAGCTCCTGTTCGTTCAGGCCGATGGAGTTCACAACAGGGAAGACCTGCTAACAGACACAGCAAGTTACTGACTGGCTCCAGAAGAATCGGCCGTTCCGAAGAGCGGGGTCAGAGAAGGAGGCGCACGAAGCCGCGCGCACGGTGAGCGCCCGTATTCTTGCTAATGTAGCACAAGTCAGGCAGCAGCAGCCCGGCCCGCGAGTCCCAGCTGGGTCCGTTCCTGCCTTTCACACCCCAGCTGAGATGCACGTGGTGCTGGGCTGCCCCCTGGAACTGCTAGCCAAGCGGCTTGCCCCGTCCACGCCTCTCACGGCGCAGGAGCGGGGGCAGACAGGGCAGCCCTGGGAGGAACCCTGGAGCCGGGCCCCGCCTTCTCCTGACATCATTCGTCCTGCCGCTGCCCGGACCAAAGCAAGCTGCAAGCCCCGGTGGGCGGGGAGAAAGGATGCCGCTCCATGTTGACAAGGCAGCACAGACCCGGTCTGCACGCGGTGAGCGTCTGTCGTACAGGTAGATGAGGGGCTGTTGCTCTGCACAGACTTTGCACTATGACTTAACTGTGCATAGCCACAAACAATTCAGAGTTCCCAAACCACAGGTTCTGTTCCTGACTTGTTTAAGGTTAGCAACCCATAATTAATCCCTATTTAATCCCAGGGCTCACACATAACAAAAATCCACAATTCAGTGACAGACCATACTCAAGCTTGTTGTTATGTGCAAACCGGGCCGTTTTCTGAAGAACATACACAGCACTGTTTAAAAATGCCAGGCACTTTGCCTTCATGAATGAGAAGCAGAAGCAGATACTCATTATTCTGTACTTAAACAGGGTGAGGATAAACTTCATTTATATCCATATCTGAAGAGCGCTTCGTTTTTGTCAAATAACCAGCAAGTCAGTTCCAAACATTCAGTAAAACAGACACAGCCCATCTCTCAGCTCTGTCAAATAATGGAATTTAGATTTTATTCATTCAAGAAGGAAACCAGAAATAGTGTTAAATCCCACCCTTGTGTCAACAAGTCTTTTGCAGTTTCAGAAAATTCAGATGTGTATAAATCTCTGATGGTAAGAGGAAATCTTGTCTTTTGAACTTAAAAGCTTCCAAAGCTGTTGAAACAGAGGTAACTAGAGCTGTCAACAGCTGAACATCACCATAATCTCAGTTTGATTGACTCTGACTGGCTATGTCTCCAGTGACTTAATTAGGGGCTATACCATTTAAATGTACTTGGAGCGTTTACCTTGGCAGAAGTTGCTCGTCTTACCCTTCATAAGCCAAGCAGCAGAATATCCAATCTGTCCGCAAACAGAATACTCCCTTGCCAATATGCTTGTCTTTAATATTAGATAATTTTGTTTGTCTTCCCACCAATATTCCAACACAACTCAAATGCATTGCGAGAGAAAGATGCCCATCTCTCATCTGGGGAGGGATCAAGGGGTTTATTTAAGAAGGTAAAGCACAGAGCGCACCCCGAGATCTTGATTACCTGGTGGATTATTTTAGTCATGAGTTCTGGGTCAGTCATGCTGGCCAGTTCCAGGTGCACGGGGACATCTGTGCGGATGTCAGAGATAGAAGCTACAGCCTACAAAAACACAGAGGACAGAAATACATTAGGAAAATAGAACAGAACAAGGAATAAATCGAAATATACTAGTACATATACTGCTGATGCGGTAAGATTTCTATAATTGCAACTGAGCATGTTCCATTCAACTTAAGGGGGTTTACTTCTGAACGGACTTGTATAGCAAGAATGGCCAGAAACTCAAACTATGAGTGATCTGCATTAAACTGGCAAGGATTTATACATGTTAGCTGTTTAAACAACAAAACCACTTTTTCTACTTCAACTGAGTTGCTGAAATGAAGAAAGCTACAAGTAACTGGGAGTTGACTTCTGTGTATGACAGAGTTCAGTTCAGTTCTGGCACTGAAAACCCATTTCCTAAACTTAGAAAGGCCCCCTTTTAAATTCTACATGTATCCTTTTTGTGCCTGATTCTGGTTTCTGGGTGAAGTAGGAGAGAGAGTGGATCAGACAAGCCTGAAGTCTGCCATCTTCGATTGCGTGCGTTACAAATGGACTGGCTGACACGAGCTGAGGGGAAACAAAACGACCTGACTCTTACCTTTAGGAGTCTCTCTTGACGGATCTCCCGGGTCTGTCCCTCCATCATATGCAGACCGGAGAGCACGACCAGGTCTGGCTGGAACTCCTCCAGACTGGACACGAACGTTTCTAACGTGTTCATTGCCCCATTAGACAGGTCATGGGAGAAGATGAAGCGGTTGGCATTTGGGGCTCTCAGCGGGCCCCATTCTTCACCTGTGAACAACCCACCCCACCCGATGCAATTAGATCCCATTTCTGTGGATGGGCCTTTGCATTAATTACAGCTTTTACCGTCCCCTGACTTTTCTCCCAATCTCAGAAGAGAGCTCCAAAAAGGGCGGGTGCTCTTCCAGCGTTTGCTCCTGCACGGACTCCCACACTTTTAGGAATTCCCTTGCAACCTTACACAAAGTGCCATTGCAAATCAAGGTATTTGGCGTTTTTAAAAATGTGGTCCTTCCTGAAGTTCCTATCGACGTCATCAGGGAATTTACTGTCCTGCATTCCATGGCCTTATCTCAGCTTTTGCGCCTTGGCCAGCCAAGCTGCTTGCAACTGACAGACTGCCCTGTCAACACCAGGATAAAATGAATGCGCTGAAGCAAGGGAATCTCACAGTGGCGCACTTTGCGCCTTAGCCTCTGCACATTTACCTGAGTGAAGGCAGTGTGCACAATCCGAAGCGTCCGCAGAACAGCTGCCCAGAAATGCGCAAGCAAGCCCTGCCCTGCCCGGACTGCCGCGAGCACCCGCCGGGCATGACGGGGCGCCCCCCATTAGCCACATGGCCCACAGGACTGGACGTGCACACAGCCAGCTTTGCGATTTCTACTGTTGTCTTCAGTAAGATCTCGGGGGAATTTCTGCGGCTGAGCAACAACATATGACAAGATGCATGCAGATTTAGACTAGAAGATAGACACAGAAATCGATGGAGCTTAACCTAGTCTAACGTAACCGACTCCCACTGTTTTTACTGGGGTTGTTCGCATGTCATGGCAGACCGTGCCCGACGAGGCTGTGGTGCAGGGGGCCACCATTTTGAATATCCAACCCTGCCTGGGGGTTGTGGGATGAGGATCCGAAGAATGTGGGTAATGCAAGGGCTAAACAACCCTTAAGTAACCCATGCTGGCCAGATTCATGCGACAGAACAACCCTGGTGCAGGGGTTGCATAGTCAGCGGGTGCCCACAGGTGCCATCCAAAACCTGGTTGCGAAGTGCAGCTTCGGAAGACATGGGGATCCGCCACAGTGCTGTGCATCAAGTTTTATACTTAACACGAACGCAGCATTTTTGGAAGTGTTCAGAGAATCTGAATGCGTCACCACAGCAATATAAAAGCAATCCACTCAACCGCAGCTTACGAATGGGAAGCGGAAGGTGGGAAATGCTGGCTGCTCCGTCAGTTCACAACCGAGAGCGGAAGAGGAGGCATCCCAGCTGGCAGCCAGCTCCGTTCTTAATCCCTGTGCTGCATCCCAGCCCTAACAGAGTAAGATGGCATTTGTGTAAATTCATACATCCATAGCCTTTTATTCCCTCCAATGGAACATACCTTCTCGATATTCCAAAATAAGGTGGAATTCATCCTGTTCTTGCATTGATCCGGGAGGGACAATTATATTTTCATCAAGCAGGTCGTGGAGTTTAGGACCAATTGGGCCACACAACAGAACCTAAAAGTCAACAAATTGATGTAGTTTATACTTCACATCTCTTAAGTTAGTCACACTATAAGGCGCATTTCTATTCATTTACTTTTCTGTCCTGCTCCAACACAGATGCATTATGTGTGCAGGCAAGATATAACCAGAATGTTTTAAACTGTACTCAAATAGTCCAACTCAAAACGTAGCAATCAATCAGGTGTCCAAAGCTGGCATTTCTACACTGGCAGCTGGATTACAGGAAGAAGATGAGCGATTCCTAGAGGAGAGATCTGAAGCTGACATGAGCCTTCGGGGGGGGGGGGGGGGGCTCCATCAAGAGCAGAAAGGCAACTTACCTGGTGAAAATCTTTGCTATGCAAAAGGTAACAGGAAGAGCTGGTTACAGAGCATGTGCTGGGCTCTAAAGGAAGCGCCAGTGAAGGGTGGCATATGCAGCCGCCTGTAAACCAGTGAGGCCGAATGTTTGAGATGCTTACCTGGAGCTCTGGATCTGCTGCCAGTTTCTGGCCAATGAGAGCAGCATTTCCTCCCACATACAACTGCAAGACAATGCAAGCACATGTTTAACCTGTGGCTTCTGTATTTAAGGTAGATTTATGCAGCATCCCTGGCAAAGCCCTCCCATAGCAACTTACAAAAAACAACCGCAGGATATACCCAGCAAGGCCGTTATGCTTCCAGGTAATTCAATAAACAATCCCCTTGCGCTGTTTTCACTTCAGCCTCCCCTGCCCCACCCCCCGATCTTCCTTTAACACATTCACCTATGGGCCATTCTGTCATGTTTCTCTTCCAAATTGCTCCCCAACCCCGCTGCTTTCCCTCACCCGTGCTCCACCTCCTTCCTTGGAGGTCCACTGCTTCAGCCTAGAAATACTGCTTTTAAATCTGGAAAGTTTCTGGAGTTTGAGCAAGAGCTGCTTTTATGATTAGACCTTCATATTTGCATCACAAGGCACAAAAGTTGTATTTTCTTGTAATGTAGTTACAAATATTTGGAGTAATCTGGAAAATACTAACAATTACAATAAATAGGCTCATGGCTACTTCGTATCCCTACATCGTCCCACACAGAAGCAAGGAAGAGGCTCCGTCCGCTTAATCCCTGTGGTTCATAGCATGAAAGGGGTGGCCGATACCTGCGGTATTGTAATGCCACAAAGACTTGAGCAATCGCGCCAGACTCAGCAAAGTACCTGCGCCCCAGGATACTTCAACGCAGTCTCTGCAATGTGGTTGAAGGATCCCGCATCACTGAAGAAGCGCTCTGCAGCGGCTCCCCTCTCCATGAAGTGGATGAAGGCGTCTTCCAGATCTTTTACAGAATGCAAGACCAAGTGATCCTGCCCAGTCCCGGGATTTGAGCCCAGGGCCTGCAGCAGCCGCACGCCGGACAGGACCACATCTACACAAGCATTCACCCTGCAAGAAAGGCGAATCGAAAGTTACAACCCGGAGGCACACCTGCACAAGCCGAATGCGCCCCAGCTGCACCGCACTGGACGGGAAAACGCCCAGGAACGGTGCGGTCCGATGGATGTCCTCAGGGGTCCGAGGGGGTTGGACAGCACCCACCCCCAAGTACGCGCGCATAGGGCTGCAGCTGCCACGCATTAGCGCGCCTTAGAGATTTCACACGTTCCGTGCTTGAAATGTTCCGTGCTTTGTATTCCAGGTTAAGAATAGCTGAACCTACATCGCTGGCTCCAGCGCAGGATGCAGCAAGCTGATGAAGGTGAGCGCAAGGCTGCTAATATACCCGTCACCAAATAATTACGAAACCGTATGACATACATACACATACCTCTGGCATGCGGCTTGGGACATTTCTGAATGCAGATCTAAAAACTATTTCTTTTTTTGCATTTTAAACTGAAATTTAAACGTCACATTGAACAGCGCCTTCATTTAGTCTACACACCCTGTACTGTCTGAAATATATTAACACTACTTGCAGCCTGTAAATAATGCATGGGAGATTAAAAGTATTCTGAAGGAACAATCCTAAATCTACTTACTTGGGAGTAAGCCCAACTGAACCAAATAAGCAATAGTGAAAGTACCTTTTTTTTTTGGGTAAGAATCTGATTCTGTTAAAATTAATACAACCTTCTAATTTCAGTGGACAAGAATTTACCTTTTTGCCTTTCGTATTTACTCTACCAAGAAGCCATACCACAAATTTACCACAGCAGGCAGTCCTGGGACTGTATGAATGTTTGCAATACTAGAACATAGGCTAGAGAGAGCCTCCAAATATAAACCAAACGACTTTTCATTAACACAAGGGAAACCTGATCTCACACTTCTGGAATTACAAGAGCGCTTCCACATCTCACTTTCCTGACCCTCGTGTCTTTAAGCACTATTTCCACACGTGCCACAAGTGAGGCAGGCAGAACTTTTCAAACCACGTGTCAAGGAATTCTGGGGCCTTCAGGAAGCACCACAGTGGTGGTCCCAATTCTGCCCTAGCCAACTCCTGCTGCTGCTTTTCCTGCCATGGACAGCTGCACAGGTACACTGGGCTTATTTTAAATCCCGTTCTCATTTTTGCCCACGGCAGCAGGAACAGCGCTCTCCCCTCAAGGAGGTGCTCACTCTCTCCCGTGCATACTGCACAGCAGACACACACAGGGGCTCCTCAGCGAACCAGCTGGCCTGGAAGGACTTCACACACCACAGCGTGCCCCAGCGACTCGGCTCTTCTGCAGCCACAGATGTGAAGCAGCCCAGAGGATGCTTAAAGCTCACCCGGAGAACAGTGTCCCGCAATCACTCACCCAACAGCGATTCGATTCCACCGCTTGGCTGGACGGGTAATAAGTGCATCCCAGGCCACTGACATGCTGCTCTCTGGGGACGTGAGATTCCCCCGCCGCTGGGACAAGAAGGCGTCTGAGATATACTTCAGCACTGAGTCCGGCAGATCAGGGTCCAAGAGGAAGACGTAGCCTGTCGCCAGGGCGAGCAGCCCCACACCTACTGACTTCTGCCACATGTTGGTGACCCTGGGAAGGCTAAGGAAGCAGCAGCGTGATCTGCGGGATGCACTTTTCTCTTACGCCGTGCCAGAAAACTGGATTTTCCTCAAAATGGCCAGCTTCAAGGAGTTATTTTTCACAACCTATTAAAAATGTTTAAGGGTGAACATTAGACTAGAGACAGTTTTCCTACAGTTTCCCTGCCAAAATTTGCATTGCATTCTGGAAAATAGTGGCCAGGTGTAAACAGAAGAATCCTGAGTAAAACATATATGATCCTAGGTAAAATAATCATATTAAGTATGTTAATTTTGCTACACAAACTCTATTTAAGAGATACCTGTCTGCCTATATCCCTTGAGTTCTCATGAATCAACTTACTCCAGTTTAGCTTGTTCATTCAGGATGTGTCTCTAGGGAAGCACACTCCCAAGCTGGTAATAAAATCTAGTAACTGAAATTGCCAATGAGCTAATACGAGACTTTGAGCAACTTGGACTTTAATTACTTAGACAAAGCAAGCTATTACCAGAGTATTATTACCAAAGTATTATCCCTTTTAAATGGAAAATGCCAAGAACTGAACTTAAAACTTTCTGTGTAGAACGCATGAGCTACAGTCCTGTTTTCTTCTGTAACTCCTTGGGAATTGCCCCAAGGAATTTTCAAGGCAATCCCAAGTGCTAAAGATCAGTGGAGGATCCCAAAGGAGATTACAGGATTCTTGGGGCAAGGCCCCATCCTCTTACGCTTTGCATCTGGGAGCGCTTGTTCCTACTGGTTAGCAGCAGCAACCCAAGCCACCCATTGCTGTGCAGAGAGAGGCATGGCATGCAGCTCCGAACGGCTGCTTCGCGCTGCTAGTGATCCGAGCATCCCGTCCCTTCCGTGCCGCTTTTGATGCCAGCCGTGCTTCGGAGGGGCTGCCCGGGACGCTCCGCATTATTACTGCTGTTCAACAGCGGTCAACGTGACAACCCGCTTCCTGCCACAGACGATCCCGCCCTCGGATGCCGCTCCTGCACGCAGCGCGCCCCCCGGTACCTGCGCGCCGCACCGGGCCCCGCGGCGCAGGACAGCGAGCGGCCGCGGCCGCCCAAAGGGAGCGCGGCGGCCCCTTCCCGTGCGGCCGGCGGCCCCGGACACGCGCAGCCGGCCTCCCGCGCCGGGGCGGGGCGCAGCCCACCTGCCCCCAGGTGAGGCCGGGCGGGGCGGGCAAGGCAGGGGGACTTCGCGCGGGCGGGGGCGAGATCGCGATCCCGCCCCCGGAGGGGAAGGGAGGGGCGGACGGGACGGAGCCCGCGGGGAGCCCTCTGCGGAGGGCCCCTGGCGCCCGCCCGCCCGTCCGTCCGTCCGTCCGTCCTCGTCTGCCTCGGCTGCGGGAGAGGCCGCCCGCCCGCCCGCGCGCGCCTTCCCCGGGGTCGCGCTCGCCTTGCCCGCCCCGGCCCGCCCGAGGGAAGGCCGGCCGCCGGGAGAGCCCTCCTTACGCCGCTTCCGTGCCCTCGCCGCGCCAAGCCGCCCTGCGCGCCGCCGTAACTGTCGCTGGGAATGAGCGGGCCGCCGCGGAGGCAGCGCAGCCGCTCGCCAGCGCTCCGTGGGCTTCGGGGGCCGCCGCTCCGAGGTTAGCGTAGCGGCCTTTCCGGAATCAGGAAGGCGCTAGGCGCGACGTGCAAGCGGGGACGTACCAAGCCGCAGAAGAAAGCGGGGGGGATGCTCGGTGGAAAGGAGTACCGTGAAAGGTCGAACATTTGGAACAGGCCGCCAAGGAAAGGGAAGCAAGCGCCTCTGAATTAAAAGAACGGACTCGGAACAAACCTTCAGGGAGCGCGGGGGGGGGGGGACAGTCCGGAATGTACCATCGGGAAGGGATTACCTTCCTCCCTTGCTGCTGCTTAGCAGCCTGCGTGTGTTCCTTAGTACTCGTAATGCTCTTGACTCGAGAGGGGGATGCGAGAGAAGAGAAGGGATTTAGCAGTCGTCGTACTACTTCATTTCTGTGCAGTCCAATAGCCAAAGCTCCATTCATAAAAATTACGCACCGCAAATGATACTACATAAAATGCAAGTATACAAAATTCAAAACGATTTAAACAGAAAATTAATTTAACTAAAAGTAGAACTTCATACCAACAGATCAGTAGACCAGAGCGGATCAGAACTGTGTATTGTTATTAGAAAGCCAGATCTAGCAATTCAGCAATTTCATGTTTAAATAAAGGGACTGGTATTTACAGCTCAAAGTTCCCCGAGTTTCTTCAACAATTGGTGGAATTCAGTGTTCTCTTACGTGGTACCCTCCAGGTGCATTGACTATCGGACCACAAGCCCCATAATCCAGCAGCCAAGACCTCTGGAGAGTAATTTCTTAAGCCCAAGTTGCAATGAAGCATCGCTCCTGAGAGACTTCGGCACTTACAAGTAAGAGGACAGCGCAACCGTTTAGACGGCTGGTGCAACTGCAAAGCCCCAGGTGCCCCCCCCCCACCGGCCAATGCATGTATTAAATGTGACAAAACAAACACACCCACAAAAGCAGGCTTCTGGCGGGTTGCCGATAGACACGTTGTCATCATTACTTCAGGAATGCTTAATCCACTTACATTCCTCTTCAGAACTTATTTACAGAGCACGATTCCTAGTTAACCCAAATAAAGCAAGTTAATTTACTCAAAAGAGCCAAGTCTCATAAATTTACATACAATTACCCTGGTTTTTAACTTGCTTCATTCTCCAATATTTAGCGCAAACCTTCCCTTGTCAGGGAGACTGCTGCTTGATCGCTCTCAGTCCTGAATAAACAACTTCACAGTCATGTAAACTAGTAAAGTCACTGAAGTTCGCCCTTTAATTAAAGTCAACAAAGATGTTTCTGGATCCAGACCTAATCCTTGTTTAAAGGTCATATGGATTGCATGTAACATCTGTCTGTAAAAGCTCTTGGTGTCCCCTTACATCCGCTTATCACTATCACCTTCACACCCTTCGGATCACTATTCCGGCTCCAACCCAAGTGATTCTACTTTGCCCAGTATTTGGCAGGGCCCCTCCACGTACCGCCGAGCTGCGTCCCCAGCCAGTTCCAAAGTTCTTCTGGAACAGCAGTGTGTAAATCCAAGTTCCCTTTCAAGACAGACTGGATTCTCCTGACTCATATGGAATAAATGTTGGTATATCTGTTACCAAGGCCGGACACCTTAACTCGCCCATTTACCATTTGCAAGGAAACAGAGAAACATGCCAAGGCCGCCTTGCCCATGTTTCTTGGGGCACAGACCCTCAGATGTGGGAACCCCGTCAGGACAAAATGAGCGAAAGCTCCACCAAGCAGTGTCGTAAGAGCTTTAGTAGGATTCCTGATCTGTTCCGGTGTCTGCACTGTCCCTGTCCCCAAAGGCCTTCCTTTGGGGACACCCTTAGGCAGGCTGATGTTTGCCTGGCCTGAAGGTCCCCCTCCTTGTATTGTCTCAACCCTTTTGTTCTACTCTCATGTGCCTCTAGCAAATGACCTGCTCGATCCCCTTCTCCCGCAAACCAGGCATGTAACTGAGCGGTCCTAAAAGCGTCTTGGCCAGAGTCCATCAGGGGCTACCTACCTGCTGCAGGTATTTCCCGTGTGCCCAAGTAACCTGTTCTCCCTGGTTTATCTTGTCCTCCCAGACTCAGAGGCTCCCCGTCATGCGATCCTGGGTGGGTGAGATAGTGGTGGTCCTTCCCCTTGCATTTGGCTTGGCTTTTGCTTTTAATCCAACTAAAGGAGGGCAATTCACAGGAATTTAAACTTTAAAACTACTACTATCCCGAGAGTGGGAACACATTTGAAAAACCCTCTCCCCAGCTTTCCAGGCTTGCCAAAAAAACAGTCACTGGTTTGATTCAAAAGACCTGGCCTACACTTTGTTTATAGACCTTGCATGCTTAGTCCCGCTCCAAAGCACAGAAATTCATGTTTTTTTACTTTTGCATTTGTAAAGAAAAATGAAGGAAAGGGTATGTTTAAAAAATTCCCCTGTCCTTTTTATTAACTGTGGTGTTCGGGGGGTCCCCTTTCATCTAGAATTCACTCCTTCCCTCTGCAGCTGCTGGAAATCAAAGAGATATAACTCCGGGGAAGGAAAATCGCCCTCGAGAAACTCTTAATAAAGCTCACAATCTTTTTTTAGTATAAGCTGCAGTAAATTTCAGTGAAGTGCCTGAGACACAGCTGGGAGTCCCTGAAGGAGGCATTCGTGCAGCCTGCAGAGCTGCTCCAGAACCGGCTGGATGTGCGGCGGGCGCTCTTGCCTCACCACTTCGGCTCCCAAATAGGCTAGTGACATGCTGTGGCTACAGCCACCAAGCCAAGCAGTCTGTCCCAGTCCCGTCAGGACGCTCCCCTCTCCCCGCACACACCCAGAAGAAATAGTCATTCGTTCTGCACCGGTCGCGTATAGAACGGTTGTTCTGTCCGTTCATCTGTTACATGTTAATATCCCCCAGTAGCTAAAGCAGCCAGGCAGTTCATGTTAAGTGCAGGCTCTTGTTACGGGTGTCCCTGTTGGCCAAACCCCCAGAAGAACCCAAACATTTCAGGCTGTGCTCATCCCTAACCTTAAACCTGCCCGAGTGGCTCTCATCGCCCCAGGAGAGGTCTGCTGTAGAACTAATGGGCCCCCCTTGCCCCTTCAGGGCCAAGCCCCTCAAAATACCACAACAGGGAGCAAAATATGGTTGCTGAGAAAAGTCATTTTCTCCAGTTGCTCTGAAAAATGCCATGAAAAGGAAACAGGAAAGCCTGAAGGGTGTTTTGCAGATTTGTTGGAACGGGGGATGCACGAGGCACCACCAGTGGAGGCCAGGTCTTAGGGTGCCACAGGTGCAACCCTCCTGAGCTCAGGCGGTCCCATTCTCCCTGTAGCTCGGGAGATCCACACGGAGCTGCCTCCACCTTGAACGTGCGGCTGCACGAGCAACAGGGAGGACTAGCGCGCGGTGGCGCAGCGCAGAGAGCGCCCACCCCGGGGAACCTCTTTGCTCTGACACTAAACATAATTAGACATGCCTCCAAGGCAGTAACCAGCCATGAGCGCGGTCACCGTTCAGGGACTCCTTTATTAGCAACGCTTTATCAGGCGGCCGGATCACGGGAAGCCCGCTTCCCAACTCCGCACACAGGTTATTAGCCAGGATCCCAGGATGGGCTGGCTTTTTAATCACTCCGTAATCAGCTGCTAATGAAAAAGGACAGCATACCGAGCCAAAGGAAACATTCCTGGAACATTATTTGTCCTATGCAAGGCAGAGCCCTCTGATCCCCTGAGCCCAAACGAGCAGGAAGGGGGGCTTCCAGAACCACCGTCCATTTCAGTTTCCTTGGATCACTCCTCCACCCTCCACTTCTTGGCGGAGTTTTTTAGCCAAAAATAGGTGGCGGCTTGTGAAGCCGCTGCCTCTTCTCTCTCCTGGAGCATTTACAGGCGTGCCTCGTTTCTCCAGCCCATGAGATGTCTCTGAAGTGCCACCACACAGGTTGCGTCTGGCGGGAAGGAGAGCGCTCTGGAGGCCGATGCAGCTTGTGCAGCATTCCCTTTGTTCGCAAACAGAGTATAAGGAAGGCAAAGCAGCATTCCTGCGATTTGTGCCGGGGCCGGGGCCGGGCCACGGGCAGCACTCCCGGGGTGGCATTCAGCACCAAAGAGCAGGTCAGACCGAAGGACGACGTGGGGCCGATGCACAAGCCACGGGTGCAGAGCCACGAAGCCTGGGGAGGTGGTCCAAGGCCAGAAGGGGCCTCGCGGAGGACAAGGGGGAGCTCACACAGCTCCATTGACCCCTGACAGTTCGCTGTCCCAGGCCGGTCCCCAGAGTGGGGGGGGGGGGGAGGCCGTGTCCCCAGCAGCCCATCTTTCAGCAAATTCCCAGTTCTTTCTCTGATTCTGTTTGCATCCACCAAACCTCTGTGCCTCCGTGCACACAGCGGTTCCCTCTTAGGGTGGCCAGGTGTCCTATCCTACAGAGGCCTTTTGGAGGGTCCTCTCT